AACAGATGGGTAGAATACTTCGAGAAACTCTTGAATAGACCTGCTCCATTGAATTCACTGCACATCGAAGTAGCATCTACAAACCTTCCCATAGATGTCACTCCACCAACGATCGAAGAAATTAGGGTGGACATCAGACAGATGAAGAGCAGAAAAGCAGTAGGATCTGACAATATACCAGCTGAAGCTTTGCAGTCAGATATTGAAGTAACTGCAAACATACCCCATGTTATATTCAGGAAGATTTGAGAGGAAGAACTGCCGACGGGCTGGAAAGGATACTTTATCAAGATACCAAAGAAAGATCTGAGCAAACATGAGAACTACAAGGTCATCACACTATTGTCAGTACCAGGGAACGTTTTCAACAGTGTTGCTGAACCGAATGAAAGACTCAGTAGATGCTCAACTGACAAACTCACTGAATTCAAGACAGATTCCAAGCCCTACAGGATCTACTGAAGGAAGAAGAAATTACTGTGTAGGATAACTGGAAAGGTATCAAAGAAGCAGTAACTTCAACGTGTCAAGAGGTTCTAGGCCCCAAGAAGCATCATCACAAGGAATGGATCTCTATAGAAACATTGGACAGGATCAAAGAAAGGAAGAACAAGAAGACAGCAATTAACAACAGTCGAACACGAGCAGATAAAGTCCGAACACAAACTGAATAAATAGAAGCAAACAAGCAAGTGAACAGGAGCATTAGAGCCGACAAAAACAGAAATACATGGAAGAACTCGCAACGTCGGCGGAGAAATCTGCAAGAGAAGGAAATGTGAAACAGCTTTACGATACAACGAAGAAACTAGCAGGGAAATATAGTAAACCAGAGAGACCAGTCAAAGACGAAGAACGGAGACCAATCACTGAAATTCAACAACAGCGGAACAGATGGGCAGAGTACTTCGAGGAACTCCTGAATAGGCCGGCTCCAATAAATCCACCGGACATCGAAGCAGCACACACAGACCTTCCTATAGATGTCAATCCACCAACGACGGAATAAATCAGAATGACCATCAGACAAACCAAGAGCAGGAAAGCAGCAGGACCTGACAATATACCAGCTGAAGCTTTGCAGTCAGACATCGAAATAACTACAAGCATGCTTCATCTTCTATTCAAGAAGATTTGGGAGGAGGAGCATGTGCCGATGGACTGGAAAGAAGGACCCCTCATAAAGATTCCAAAGAAAGGAGATCTGAGCAAGTGTGAAAATTACAGAGGCATTACACTACTGTCAATACCGGGTAAAGTCTTCAACAGAGTGTTACTGAACAGGATGAAAGACGCAGTTGACGCTCAACTTCGAGATCAACAAGCTGGATTCCGTAAGGACCGGTCGTGCACAGACCAGATTGCGACACTACGGATCATCGTCGAACAATCAATTGAGTGGAACTCGTCACTGTACATCAACTTCATTGATTATGTGAAGGCATTTGACAGTGTAGATAGGAGGACGTTATGGAAAATTCTTCGCCCTCCTATCGCATACACATGAACAAATGCAGATAAAGACAGCCAGAGTAGCAGCAGTCTCTGCATCAGTAAGCCTCAACATACACAAAGAGAAAACCAAGGTCCTCAAATACAACACGGAGAACAGCAATCCAATCACTCTTGATGGCGAAACTCTGGAAGATGTGGGATCCTTCACATACCTGGGAAACATCATCGATGAACAAGGAGATTCAGATGCAGACGTCAAGGCGAGGATTGGCAAAGCAAGGACATCATTCCTTCAATTAAAGAACATAGGGAACTCAAAACAACTTTCAACCAATATCAAAGTCAGAATCTTCAATACCAACGTCAAGACAGTTCTACTGTACGGAGCTGAAACTTGGAGAACTACAACAACCACCATCAAGAAGGTCCAAGTATTTAACAATAGCTGTCTACTCAAAATACTCAACATCCATTGGCCGGATACCATCAGCAACAGCCTTTTGTGGGAGAGAATCAACCAGCTTCCAGCTGAAGAGGAAATTAGGGAAAGACGATGAAAATGGATAGGACATACATTGAGAAAATCATCAAACTGCATTACGAGGCAAGCGCTAACTTGGAATCCTGAAGGGAAGCGGAAAAGAGGAAGGCCAAAGAACGCGGATCTGAAAGGGATGAATAAGAAATGGAAAGAGCTGGAAAGGATTGCCCAGGACAAGGTTGGATGGAGAATGCTGGTGAGCGGCCTATGCTCCTTCACGAGGAGTAACAGGTGTAAGTAAGTAAGTAAGTCAGTAATCATACTCCTGGTTCTAAATGTTAAGAACTTCACTTTGTCAATTTGAATGATCATGTAAACCACGATATTTCTTTAGTTTTTCCTTGGTTTAACGAGTGCAGACTTTACAAACTTTACACTGCTCCATCCAGTTGGCGCGGATGGTTTGTTTCAAATTACTTGAATGACAAATAATAATTACCCTTCTAGTATCGTTCAACGCTCTGCCACTCTGGTTCATCATTCTAGATAGCTTGTCTGTTTGATAAGTTTATGAACAGCCTTCAGTAACCGTAATCGATTTTTTATAGTGACGAGCACATCGATTTTTACTTAAAACAAAAATGTCATTTCATAGGGATACTAGAGTATAACGTACAAAAAAGGGAGAATACAGTGTTTTAAGGATGTTTAAGTTCTACTAAAAAGGATAAGTTAAATTAAAGGTAAATTGAACAGTTTTTCTCCGCTTTCTATCGTATAACAAATAAAGAAAGCAAGTGAAAATAGCAAATTGGTTATAGGGCGTTCGTCACTGATTGTATGTTTTAGTCATAGAAAGATATGTCTAAAGCTGCTAATTTGTGTAATTACAGGTTTCTCGATGAGCGCTTGTATTATTTGTTCTTTATTATATTATTATAGTATAATTGAGCATTATCATCATGGTATTGCCAGTAGATGTAAGCAGTCACAATATATCTGCTCTAATAGGTCAGTTTTTCACAGACATAAAGTAGAGCTGCTCTCATCGATATTTTGTAAACATGGTGTTTTATAACACGATTGATATCATCAATGACCCAGAGATGATAAACTGACAATGTACAATCCGTACTTAATTACATCAGTTTAAGTTGCCGTACTCCATAAGCACAGTGATGAAGTTGTCAAGGCAAATGTCAGAATAGTAGAGTTAGTAACAATATCAGAGGTAATAAGAAAGATTAGGCATCTAAGTTGTGATTGAAAGTGGAATATAAATTAGTAAAATAAAAACAAAAAAACATTATGAAGAACTTAGAATCTCAGAATTTGGGGGAAAAGAAAAAACACATGCACCTTTACCATTGTAAACGGTCTTGAGTCATGTCATCTAAAGTATTCAACCACTGGCTACGATAATCACTCGGATCCCAACCACGTAGTCTATGCATCTATTAACATCCAATCGTCGATTACTTCATGGATTGATGCTATGTTTTGATTTGGTGAAACGCTTACTACAGAAATAGACGAATTTTCAATCCCATAGATTTTACTTTGAGACAACAGCGTCAACTTTTAATACTACTGGTTACGAAATCTACTGAACAGTCAGTCAGTGACTGATTAATTAAGGATTACTAAATAACGATTTCTATCTATATGAATACTTCAACGTCCACACATATAGTTCCTTAAGGTATTTCAGAATTATGGTCATTTGGTATGGAAACCTATAGAAAATGAACTGATATTAGTCTATAGTACAGTGACAACGCAAAGCAGATTATTAGATAAGGAAGAATTAAAAGTGACATTTTTGTAATACTGTACAGATCTGCCATTTTATTGTTCAAAATACTAGCACCTTAAGTGTAATAAACAGTAAGATGTACACTAAGATTCTTATCTTCAACTTGAGAAGGTATCCTAATGAGTCTTTTTTATTTATATTTGCTTCTTAATCATCCAGGATATATTGCATTTTAATTCAAATTTATAAAAAACAAGTCATTGAAGACAAGCAAAACGAGTAAATACAATTCGTACACTACTCATATTGTAATAACCGAACAAATTGTTTACAATTCTTTATTTGATTTCTCTAAAATGTAGAACATTAAAACAATGGCCCAGTGTTGTGATGAACTGAAGAATTCTTTCCACAATATAGCTGATTGTCTAATCTATTATTTAACCTAACCAATAAAATCAAATTAATCTGTGTCTGCAACCTACAATGTAAAGGTCAACTATAATAGGTTATATGTTGAGAAACACAGTTAACGCTGGAAGAGACAGCAATCTGAAAATCAATTTTTCCGTTTTAAATTTACATCAAATAATAAACAATCTTATTGCACATGCTAAATCACTTCTATTTGTGTAAAAAGTATGGACTCATCTTGCAATGTCGATGCAAGAATGGTCAAACATCCTTACTAATTCACTTCCAATTAGTCAGCACTAATAAACGACCCCACTTGCCAGTTTTCTGCGTAACATGTGTAAATAATCGTGTTTATAAACTTGTATATCTGTTCTGGCATTCGCCTTTGAAATATATCGTGTTGTGTTATATCGAGTGGCTCAAAACTAATGTTTTCTGTCATCGGAATTAATTACTTCGAGTGACACTCGTCAGGGTTGTGTGCTTTATCCATTTTCACTTAACTTTGTTATAGGCATGTTTTTAGAGACAGCACTCTCATTGTCTGACTTTTCAGGAGTTGATCTTGTACCAGGAGACTCACTTGTTGAGACGTGTCACGTATGCACAACCACAGCCTACCTCGACGGGCGATTTTGTATGATGTGAGAGTAAACTGGAGGAAAGCTAGGGACGGACAAGCCAAAAACACGGCACCAATCTATAAAGACATCGATGATTGGACTGAGCCATTTTGACTTCCCCCAAATTCTGAGCTTTTGAATCCCTCATAATTTTTATTTTCTCTAGTTATCAAACTAACTTATGTTTTCTTGAGTTGCATTTTGGATGCTCACTCTTTGCAGTCAGCATTCACGCTGTTACTACCTCTACAACTTGGGGATTTGACCTGAAAACTTCATCTATCTGTGTCAATGGGGTATGGCAACTTGAACTGATGTACATAAGTACAGGTTTTACATTGTGACTGGCTGTCTTGCTGGCGGATTTTTATACCTGTTTGCTTAATAAGCCTGAGTTGTTGCCTATTGTTACCTATCGCGACTGCCATTACTTTCTTTTCTGTTATTGCCACTCTTTCTGCTCACATGTATTACGTGAACTTTTTATCATCCTACGTTTAAGCTGCAACTCTCCTTGTCTAGTTCAATGCTAAACGGGATGAGTTCTGTAGACGAAACCACTACCTTTGCTGTTTCTACAGTTGTTTGAATATCGTACCAAACCACTTCGAGTTTCACTTTCATGGTTGATTAACTCGTTCTATAATTGTTCCTGAAATATATTCTTAATTTTTTTAAAAGCTGTACTTTAATTTGTTTTCTTAATGTGGCTTTTCTTCATTTAGTAAGACGCAGACAAATATATGTTTGAACTAGAGTGTTATCTGAGTCTAAACATGTGGTCCAGAATAAGCGACATTTTTTAAACGAGCTCCTCCAATGATGACTAATGGCAATGTGATCTAATTGAGTCTATCAGTAGTAGTGGCTTTATGAACTGATGTTACAATTTGTTCTAGTTGTCTTGACTGTATTGCAACCTTGTGATATGATGGAAAGAAAAGTCAATTTTCGATTGATTTACTCATCATGAGTTTTGTTCAAGATTACTCCCGTTTTGATTCAATGTAATGATTACTCAATGTAGTATTTGTTTTCTTTTCTCATATGACATTTTATTCTGTATAATATACGCTATTCTTGTATTCCGTCGATCTGAACTATGCTCAGTTTGTGATTTATTATAACTCGGAGTATTTTTCATATATGTGATTTCATTCTAATTGTTAATCAAAATGGGTGTAAAATCAATATATCAACCAGTGTATTTTAGACTACGATCATCATCATTATCATCATCATCATCATCGTTTTCGTCGTCGTCATAGTGTTTTGGGGCTAATAAATCTTCACTTATACCAGTCTTGTGTTCTTACTTTTGCATCGTGGAAATTGCAGAGGTCCCTCGTTCCACGTATAAGTGATCAGCGTTTTTCCGGCACAACAATCAACGACGACCAAACCTAACACTTCGTCTAGGCGTCTTTGTACATAGGAACAAATAGTTGATTTTCGGAATGAAACTTCAGAAAAAAATGTATTATATTCTACATGATCTATTCACTATTGAATACCCTTTCACTAATTAATTATTCCATCAATCCGTTTAGTACCTTTGCTCATACAAGTCAGACCTGTCGGTTTTTTTTCTTATTAAACATATCAGTTATTCTATGTTTAATTGTCTGATACATGTAAAGTTGTGAGCATAAGTCCTCTTTTAGTTAACACTACTGCTATTTTGTAAATATCTTACCGTTTCAATCGTGAAAATTTTAGTCGTCGCTTAATAGATTTATGAATTATTCGTTATTACGTATCGTAAAGATAACCTATTTTTTAGGTGTTGAATTTTAATATTTTTTTACTTTCAATTTCCGTCCGTAATATAATTTATTAACTGTTTACTCTCGAACAGATGTTTCGCGAAAATCAATGGTACCTATTACGTTGTGTCAGTTATTTTCTCAAGTATGTTTTTGACTATGTTGATTGATGCTCATCATATCTTCTATATGTAACATTTATTATGTTGTTGCTATCTCAAATACTGCAGTAAAATATCACTTTATTTGTCCAATGGCACATAATTTTTATATCCACTTCTCCTGTATTTCAGTTTTATATAATCTATAATTTCAAGTCAGCAAAGGTTTCATTGATATTTTCACTTAGTTTCATGCAGAAGCGTTTGTGGTCTGTTTCAACTTTGGCTATAGCTTTTCTATTTACGGTTATCGTTTGCCACGCTCGCATGATCCACTGTTGTAAACGATTAGATTTATACTTTGTGGAATATCACTTTTCGAAGTAGACGTAGATAAAATAAATTTGTGAGATCTCACCATGGTTTTAAGTGAATGTACCAGTAAACTACTACCGCCAGTGCTACTTGGAATGTTATTTTATTTTTTTAACACCTCGTTAGTAGACTGCCGGCTTAATGCTTTTAGTTACCTTTTTTCGGTTCTAAGAAGTAGCGGAAAGACTCAGTTATTATCTCGCAGCTGTAGCACAATTGCGCCTAACTGAAGAACAAAAATACCCCAACTTTGCGACCAATGAAAAAACATTAAGATTTCACCAAAATTGTCCTAGCTTACGGCTGCGAAACGGGTAGATAGTCTTAATCTTTTCTGCACGTCGAAGGTGTTTTCAATTCCTGAAGATCCCACCCCTGGTTACATTTCCAATAGCACTTCCACACTGAAACTTGCAATAAAACCGCACTAAGTTCTTATTCATGTATGTAATTTGGCGAAGGCGAGATATCCGTCTATCAATTAAGGGACGAGTATACTGCGCAGAAGTTCGTTCTGTTCTATTTTAAGGCTGCAAAACGGCCATTAGGAGTAAAAGATACTCGTAAGCTACTAGTATTTGACCACAGATACCTTAGAAATATTTCTCACATCTACTGGGATCACCGGGTAAGTAATAGTGAGATTAGACTCAGGGTATTAGGTTGTGAATCTTCATCGACTGAGATGGTTGGGTCACGTATTACGCTTGCTCAACCACGACGCGCAATGCTGACTAGTGTTGGGGATGGTTGGAAGAAAGTTAGGAGCGGCCAAACAAAAACGTGGCATCAGTACTTTAAGTTACTAACTTCTAGTCTTAGCCATGCTGGTAGATGCAGACTACTTGGTTGAAGTCCGCGTGACTATCGTAGCGAATGATTGGAGACTCTGAGTGACATGACTCAAAATCGATCACAATGACGTAGGTGTATACACTCTCTGTCTTCCCTTAAACTATGAGATTAAAATTGCTTTATATATTTCTTTCTACGAACTAATTCTTTGTTCATGTATTATATCCTTATATGCAATCTTTCTTTTATATGTTGCCACCACTGAATTAACTACTTCTATGAATTCGGTTTTCATCTTGTTGTGCTAATGAGGTATGGCAACTTGGATCGATGCATATATGTGCCTGGTTCTACGTTGTAGCTGACTGACTGTCTAAATGATTATATTCGTTCCTACCTCCATTGCAAATTAGCCCCTGATTAGTACCTCCTTCTCTTTTTAGACATAAGTGACTGGGTGTATCCGGATTCAGTAAGTTACTTTTCATTCTATTTCGTTGAAATCAATATATTTGCTGTTCATAATAATTTTCTTCTGATTATTATGTTTGCTCCACTCTGCGTTTTTATTTAAATCGAGCAAATAGAAATGATGCGTTTAGTAAACACCAATCGTGTTTTTAACTACAGAAAACCTAAAAATTATCGATATACTTATGAGATGCAACGGGTACTACTGATTAGTTGCTTATCTAGACAGCTCATCCTAACTTACGTTGTAGCAGGTTGAATAAACCGCAACCCGTCTTAGGGTTCCTCAAGTATTAGTACGGAGAAAAATATTTTGAATTCATGCACATTTATCACTAGTTCTTAAGTGTTGTAAATAATATATCTATGTCAGCCACTTTGAAAGTTGGATGTCAGTATCTATGACCCACGTTTTCAGAATGCGATTTAATTTTGAAAGGCCAAATTACGAATATTAGTCTGATCTCATAAAGTCGTTACTGGAAATTCACAGCACAAACTTTGAATATTCAGGGGTATTCTACGTACCTCTCATAGTTTTGCAAACACATTGCAATACTGTGTTTGATAACAGGAAACACACTTGTCGTCTGCACCTTGGTTAACATGCGGTTGTAAAGTATTTCGTTGGAATTCAAAATTACTGTCATATATTTCATTATGCTCATCATTTCGACATTTTAAATCAACTCATTCAACAGGTACTTGTGTGTGAGCTTCACTTGAAGTACGAGGAATAATGATACTTCCCGCCTGCCCAGACCGAAGTAGGTGGATCGGAGTTCGGACCCGGGTCTTAGTGGCTGTAAGTTCAATGCCTTAATCACTAATCCGCTGCTCCAGCATTTCAACTCTCGTATCCATATACTTCAGTTAGACGATCGTGAAATGGATTTTTATCGAGTTTGGTCTAGTCACATGTCAAAGTATATGGTCGTTGTAAAATACGATATTTATATCAATGTGAAGAATCTTAGACAGAAATACACGTATTTAGTAATTTTTTTTGACTAAAAGAGCCGATAATCATTTCTAGATGCTGCGGCTTTCTTCTGAAATTCATATTTTTATGTAAGCACCAAACTTATGCACAATGTATGGCTCAAAAGTCCCAGTCATTAGCGCAAAATGTTTTTGTCAGCAATCTCCACCTGATTGTCTATTCCACTACTGTTAAGCTTCAGCTAAGGCTTGTGAAAATATAGTTAAGACGACGGGAAGTATTTGTAATACAGTCTAAGTAACCTACAGTTAGTTCCCAGGTTCTAATTTTACAGACGCATTTTGTGCGGAACACTTATAACAGATCTTCCACTCTAACGGAAATGAATGTAGGGTGTCACTTTCTTGAAACGTGGAAGAATGGCAGACCTTCCTGCGTTATTATCATTATTATTGGCTTTGTTCAATATTATATTTCTGGTACAACATAGAATTCTCAGCATAAAGTATTTCAACAAGGTTTTTTTCTTATTTCTTGATCGCCAATTAGGTGTTAGCAGTTCCGGAATCGACATTTGAATAATATACAGTTTTTTCGATGCATATTGCCAGCATCCACGATGTTTCTGATTGGTCTATTTTGTAACTTGTACAGCAAAATGTTGTAAACATGTCACAAACGCTCCTGAATAGGTTTTGCGACTAACGGGCATAATAATGTGTTAAAATAAACAAGAAAACAGATAACTTGTTGAAATATATAGATGGCAGGAACAGGTATCCAAGATATTCAAACAGACCACCTGTTATTTAGGCAGTAGTTTGAGTTTCTTAGTTAAACTAACTGATATATTAGTTGAGATATGGCAGTCAAATTTACTTCTTTTTATCTGGTTTTATTAACTGATCATTTTTGTGAATGGAAGCTACAGCTGTCGTGTGATAGTCCTAAAAATTGACTTGATTTTTTCAAGAGCAAATCGACCCGATAAAGTATTTTCTACTGGATCAGTTCGTGTTGGCTTTTAGTTTGTGGTCTGTAAGTCAGCCAAATTTTGTGGTTTTAATCTCAGATTGTCTATTACAGGTGATTTTTCTCGCATTTAGCAACCAAATGACTTACATATTCCATTTTCTAAGTATTATTTCGTTATTTTTCTTTTTTAAGTAAAGTATTATATACATTTTAAATAGAAATGAAATTTTATTACATAGTCCATTGCATGGCTATACTTTAGATTATCAGAAGTAAATTTTGATTAAGAAAATAAAACTGACTTAGTGATTTCAGTGTTCATATATTTTCCAGGTCTCTTATCGGTTCATGAGCGAACAAATGTGTGGGTCAGATATGTGCATTGAGGCTGCTAATCAAGGCTACATGCTGTGTGATGCCGGGATCCATGATTGCTACGTAGTAAATAACTCTTATCAATGTAAGAAAGGAGTTCCACTAATAGATTCCTGTGAGTATTTGGCTAAAGGTAAGTTTCGTCGCTGTTTCAACTTTTTATCGAATATCATTTATGCAAAATAAAATTTAATGGGAATATAAAACAAATGTGCATCCTTTTATTTTCCGAGGTTATATACACAATGCTACTAGTATTACATACATATTTGCCCAAATTTCAATGGAAGGAAGACTTCTCTTTCACTATTCTCTGATACTGTAGTCTCAAACCATCTGGGCTTCACAAACTAGTTTTGGACAGAAAACTTCCTGGTTCCCATCCGAATGGTACTTTCAAACATAGAAATAATATCAAACGAAGATAAACATCGTCACCATAGATAAATCACATGCTCATTCGTTTGATGAATGTTGAGTGTCTATCTAAATTTCTTTCATCACTCTGATTAACCTAGACTACTTTTCATGCCATCAGGATACCAGTCTAACTGGGAAGCTTGCAACACATTTTAGCTTTGTCTTTGAAACCTGAGTGCTCCGAAACATGTGGCTTATGGTGTTGTTAAATATAGTTCAAAGTTGAATCTAACGGCGATCAGTCTATTGCTTTTCATCATATTTTTCGTCAAAGTATGGTGCACCCTCTAAACTAAAAGAAATCTTTCTTGACTATATTTTTAACTGGACTCTAACTCTTGATAAGTAGTATTCTTGTCCACTTATTTATTGGTTGTACTATACTTTCCTCTTTTATCTCATCACATTATTATCCCTTCATTTTGCACTATTTTTGGTGTTCATTTTACCATAATTCATGTATTATGAGTAGATAAAATGCTAAAATGTTAAAACTACACTTATATGTTGTGAATTTTTATTTTAATCACATCTAGTTTCGAGTGGTTTAACATGATCTCTTCGTAATCTCTTCTATTTTAACTCAAGGTTAATAAGCTGAAGTTACTCGCTCATTAAAGAAATTGTTATGAAACTTTTCAATCTAGAGAACACTAATTATTCACATATTTACTAATCTTACGTGACAATTGGGCTTTCATACAAATGAAATTAATGAGTGCAGTATCGTTTCCACTCTTCGTTAATTTTATTCTCTGCTAGTATCAAATATCTGTACAAAACATTCGTTACTACCGCTTCATTAATAGCTGTTCACAATTTTTATTCTGTTTTATATCTACAAAGTAACCACTAAATATTTTAGTTGATTTTAGTTACAGTTGAGGCTCTAGCGTTCTCATTTTTTCCTACTATTTTTCAGATTTAAATTGGTCTTGTCCACATGTTTCCAGAAATTCCCCTGAAATAGCCGTACGTTTGTTTTCAGTATCAGCATGGTTCTTAAATAAATAAAAATTAAATTAGCTGGTGTTAGCGTTCTTTTATTTAGCATATGACTTTATTCCCTTACCCCTTTATAAAAGACTCACTGGCTACAAATTTCTTGACACAGACAAGGTTATCGACGTATAGCAGAAAATTATAGCCAGTTTTTATCTTTAGGGTTTTCTAGCTCTAATCCCTGTGCAAATTAGCCATCAAGTCATGATCTAACACTGATGTCGTATTAAGAATTACTTCATATGAAATGGCCAACTCTTCCCCGATTTTTCTGTTTTCATTATCATTTAGATGTATGATAGCCGTAATGGCATAAAAAGTTTGAATAGCTGATTGAATTGGGAACGCTTGAAACCTTCATTCTGTTAAAATTTAGCCTTACAGTTGGTTGTATTGTACACGAGGTTGCAGGTTTCAACACTCGGTACACGAACACATTTGTGAAACATTCAATTACTTCTTCAAATACATCCATCTTATTTCATCTGAAATTCGTAGTCATTCTACGTTTGAAGAGATTATGATATCACCTTGGACTGGCGAATAGAACGGAAGTCAGCGACACAACAACGGGAAGAACTTTTCATGAGATAATGGTAATATCAGATGCTGTATCTATTCGCAATATAGATGAGAATGCCCAATAATATCAAGAGTAATGAATTTCCTCCTCCCTGGATTTGTGATAGGACGTTAATAGACTCGACGAATCTGTACAGGATTTGAAAGCAGGCTTTCTAATGCTTCTGGACAGATGTGGTGGTCGATCGTTTTCCTCCTCTGACAGAATCCATCTTTGTGACCAATGGATTTTCATTTCCTACAACGATGTTTTTTAAACGGACAGGCTCGTACAACTTACACAGTAACGGCGTTCTAATATAAATAAACTTTTGCAATTGGAGACTTCAGATGAGGTTGAAGGCTTTCAGCTGATCTCCAGTCAAAGACTTCATCTGGAAGCGTTCGCATTCGCCCACATGATAAAAAAAAGGTCAGCATCTTTGTTCATAATCAGCTTCAAACATCGATAACGTGTATTGGGTAGTGAGGAGTTATCTCCAAAATGTTGGCCTAATAATTGGACATTGTCAGAAAATGAGCAGTCGCTTGGGTTCAGATGTAAATTCAAATTTAAATAGATCCTTATCAAGCCGGAACCACATATCAAAAGTAACATTAGCATCGCGATCGTAGTGAAATTCGGTAATAATTTTGGTGGCGCTGTCAGTTGACAGTGCAGTAGTGAAAATAGATGTGCTAGGTTGAAAGCTAGACGTAACTTCCCTACCTGTCAACATCTGGATAAGTATAAAATACTGCTCCATCAATAATTCCACTTTCGCCGGATCCATGCTTGCACCAGCCTCTTCGCCACTTCTGCGTTTTCGAGAGATTACAATATCACCTAAGACTGGCGAACGTAATGAAAATCAGCAACATAACTTCAGGGCCAGTTTAGTTATTCCACTGCTCCCCAGTCCTGCTAACTAGATAGAAAAAACCAGATCCAGCCGAGAAAAATATATATTCCACAAGCAGTCCGGAAACATGAACGGACAAGCACAACTCATGAGTATATATACAGCACAATGATCGAAAAATTTGATTTTCTGAAAGTACAAAATTGTTATCGGGAAAACGTCACAAAATAGCGTAATGAAAGAGTAAACGAACTGAAGGTAAAAATAGGTGCTTTTAACGCGAAAATGAGAAATTCAAATTTTCATAATAAAATTATATAAATGAGACGTTTACCAAGTGATTTCTGGGGGTGTAGCGTCGCCAGAAGTTAGCAATATTTTACTTGTCCAGTAAGCAGACTCGTATCAGATAAAACTTTATCTTTAAGATTATTATAATCAATGAAATATAAGTTTATCTGTTTCGTAGAAGCTGCCTATTCGATTTGATATAAAACGTCGATTTCATATTCTAAAATAACATTTGTAAATGTTTGAATTTTACTGACCTTCAGTTTTGAAATCGTTATATATTTAATACTGTTGCATTGAATGGCAATTTTTTAAGATTGTATCAATTGAGTATGAGATTTGCCACCATTGCTTATTCACATGTAGGTTATTTTTACTACTTATGTTCCTTTCCGATTAAGTCATTTTTCAAATGACTCTTTTCATTTAGGAATACGGACGGAGCCTCCATAGTGTTTCCTACAACGCCAAAACTCTGTATCGCATAAATCCAGATTATATTTTGAATTTCACATCTAAATTCACCGATCATGTGATTAGACAACAGCTTGCTCGCAACAGTGTGTAAGTAACACGCATATTTTAAGGTGTTTATGAACTGTGTTATTAATAAATAAATTTTAAATGTCTCCCTCTTGCAAGCGACGGCAGCACGAACATAGACTAAAATAAAATTTACGCAATTTTCGCCTACAGTTGCGAGCAGCTAATGCGAAAATGCAAAGGCATTGTAGATAAGTAACAGTAGTAACTGAGATCAGAAAGGGATCCCATCTGATTAATCTCAATTGCTGATCGTACCAGTTTATTAGCAGAGACCAAAATTCTTTCTTGATAACCGTAGAGTAACCAGTTTGATCAATATAGCGTCTAAAATACCAGCCTGTATAACCGTGCGACGATTATCTGTCGTTTGGAAAAACAAATTAAGGGATACCAAACTGGCATCAATGCAAAATGTTACTTCAGGATTGGTCTGTATCAACGCCTGAACTGATGATAGTGAGTAAAGTAGTTGGGCGCGTCGATTACTTCACTTATCTTGAAAGTTGAACCAAACCTAGTGGGATGGTGTCTGACAAAATCTCGACACATTTCAGACAGTTCGGTTAGCTTTTGCTAACTCGCATCACTTGTGACGCTAGCGAGATGTCTGTCCACCGACCTAGGAAACACTATACTCAGTAGTTCGGTCTGTTCTACTTTATGCATATGAAACGTAGCCTTTGAAAATATAGAAGGAGATTCGTACGTCAATACTCATTGAACAAAGATATCTTTGGAATATTGCACGCGTATGTTGGGATCATCTAGTGAGCAAAGCTGGGTTTAGACGCAGTGTACAGGATAGAGATGGCAAATTAGTTGGTGCGGTTAAATATTTCACAGACTTATAGATTTTAGGGAGGTTTCAAAAATCTATTGAACTACACTGGCTTTTGGGGTTCAAGAAAACCTAGTCTAACAAAAATATAATACGGGGTGATTTTACTGTAAGAAGGCATTAGGTAAGAGAAAGGTATGTTCGTTGTAAGAAGTTATAAAGCAATATGGAAACCCAGTCAGAAATAGCCTTGTGAAAAGGTCAATCGATGGCAATCAGAAGTCCATTTGCATCTTTTGGTGAATTCTTTCATTTGAACTGCCTTCGCATCTCCTCACCAAGTGTTCTATCAACGCTCCGCTTTCGATGTACTGAAATTCTTCATTTGATTAGACAATTGTTGCATCTTTGATACCACGTATCGGTATATACTGCGTATAAACACTTCTATGAGTATCGTCCATTACACTATCACTATAGTGCTATCCAGTAATCGTTTACCTTAACCAACCGTTTAATACGTCAAATATCATCTTGTAATAGATTATGAATAAGATGATTTGAGACGTTATATCATTTGATTGAATTAAACTGTCAGCGAAATTCTTAGTACTTTTTAACTATCGGGGTTACGATGAAATTCATTAAAATAATATGAATTTTTTACCGAGGTACTGTAGTCACCAAAAATATTCCGACTATTTTTGAAACGTAAACAAAAAATACTGAGAAAAAACACAGGCACAACAGAATACTAACTTACATGAAACGAGTGAATATTAGAAACAGGAATAAAGCGACAATAGTTACGAAAGTAAAAATATAATTAACAATACTTATGGAGTACACATGTGTTAATGGAATCTGAAAAATACAAAAAAGTATAAATTGGAGCGATTATTCAAAATAAAAATATTTCAAGAAATTAAAAGTCATTTAGTTTGATAATAGAAAATCTGAACCGGATTTAAACGGTTTTCCCTAGTTTAAAAATTACAGCGATATTGTGCAGTTCTCCTAACCAGTTAGAAATTAAAACGGATAAGTATGAATCAAGCTACTGAAAACACTAAAAAGTAGTCCTCAATGATCATCTGAAACTGTAAATTCAATGTATACACATAACTTACATGCGACGACCCTAACCAGTAAACCAAAGCGATCGCGAATGTTCCACCCTGAGCTGGAAGACATTGGCATTCAAAATTAGAACCAACAACAATTGTTTTGCAATTTCCATCACTCCACAATTCTTTAAACTCGCTAGTTGAAAGAAGAGTAAAGTAATAACTAGATGTGAGATTGAAAACAAAGCATTATTATTATTTATTAACCTGTAGGATAATTAATAGAGCTGACTCGCATACTAGAACCGCTACGATGCCGTCATAACTATGAACAAAAAAACCCCACAGAAATCGAAAATAAGATTAGTGGATGAGGCCACAAAAGCAGGACATGAAACCGTAACAGTAACACACTGCATTAAGTTAGTAGTTTATTAGCAAAATAGGTCAATCGATGGCAATCAGAAGTGAATTAATTTTATTGTCCATTTGCATCTTTTTCTTGCGTTCACACAGTGTATTAAGTATCTGATTGCAAAGTTTCTTAAAGAGATACCCTGAGTTTTAACGTAGATCATGTGTACTCTTAAATTGATTCAATTTATTTCAGTTCTGAACGTCGTTCAATTGCTAGTCAGTTACTTGACAGCATGAGGTTTGCATTAGATATGTCTCCAACCATTGTTGCATCCGGTTATAATTGGTCTACAAACTCTACTGCGAATTCAGAATTTCTGTCGACTTCAGTTTCCAAAAAACTGCAAATAATCTCCGTATTTCTCCATTTAATCGCGGAGATCGCCCGCCAAACCCCTTCTGTTATCGATTTATTAAGATCCGGCAAAGAATCTGAAAGGAGTTTACGGTTTTGGGTAAGTGTTTCCGTTCTGATTGGCCGTCTTATCCTTTGATAGTGGGAATTCGTAAAAGACTTCTGTATAGTTTTGTGAATGTTCAGTTTGGCAATTCGCGTACATTGACTCAACATTTATCATTCTCATCGTTGTAATGTTTACTCGTACATGTGGAATCATGCAGTTCAGCAATGTTCAAAATGAAAACCCTAAACTGATTGCTTTTTCATCGACGCTATTTTTACTATTTGCGGTATAAGTGTGTCAGTAGAGGTTTTTGTGACTCTACTTGTTCATCTCATCATATTTTAAGCTAAAATTATCTACTAGTTTGGCTCATCTTAAGCCGAGTGTTATGGTTCATTTTTACTAGCATATCATGAAACCATGTCTGCAGTTGTCAGTGATAGTGTAAAATTAACTTGTCTAAACAGGTTTGCATATCCCAATCGGTTAAAATAGGTTTATAGACAGCGAGTCCTGTTCCTTCAGGTGGAAAACATCAAGTGATATTAGGTTAAATGTGCTGTATCCCAGATCAAGTTTCAATTAATTTATAGGAGAATACACGCTTTAGTCACCACTGAATACAAAATTTGATGAGAAACCGATGTATGACAATCCGAAATATATACATTTGAGCACTTTTGACTGAATAAGCTAGACGTCAAACTTTGAATACGCTTTTGACGTTAACATATGTAAATAAAATCATTAAAAATTGGGTGAAATATCTTCAATACATACTTTAATTCTTGATTAATCAATTCTTTGCAGTTAATATTCATCTCAAGCTAACACTGACCAAAGAACTAATATAAATCAGACAACCCTGGGTAGCTCTTTTGTATTGATATGCAACTCCTCATCATAACCTAAACAGTACCTCGTCAGAGATCAAGTCTAGAAATTTCAGGTTATGTAGCGGGAGCGATACCCCAGGAAATATTACTGTTGTGTGGGCGAGAATGATCATGATTGGTTGTCTGCTTAGTCAGACATGTAGACAGTCTGACAGGTGTCAGATAAGTTATATATTTCCTTACCCTTATTATTGTGACTCACTTATATACATATATACTTATTATTGATTGTTTATTGTTGTGGATTGTGTCGGTTTTGGGTGTGAAAATATATTACGTTCTGGTCAGGCTGATTACGTGTTCTTGATCTGAGTTGTGTTGAAGTCCTGTAGAATAGACACTGGGAGGGATCTAGTGTAGATAATCGTTTAAGCGTTATAACATTAGACGAAGTAATACCGAGCGTTATAACAATTACACATACTTTTTTCTTTGTCTCGTGCTTGCGGTGACACGTGAGAGTCATGTATTAGATCCACGCCAGGGTTCTAATTGGGTGTCACTTAAAAGTGTCATGGTAGAACGAAACAAATGTTCAGTGGTCATCAGTTCTGATATTAAGGTGTGATAAAAACTGTTTAAATTAAAGAATCTCCACAAGCTTAGTGATAAAGTTTTGCGTTATTGCAAAATTTAGCTTTATTATGTACCGTAGGTTGATTTGCAGTTATAAAACATTTCTGACTGCCAGTCGATTAGTTAGCATTATGTTGAACTAATTTCAGTATGCTGAAGTTACAGTTTGATGTTATTAGTGATCTTATACTTTTACAAGGAATAAAAGAATTTGAGATTATAGATTTTCCCATTTTCCCTGAAACTTTGCTTTAACTTTTAATTTTAGTCCAATTTTATTCATAGATTTTAGTCACTGCATAATTCTGTTAGGAGAGAGTTAAGTATTTTCTTTATTTATAAAACCTACCTTAGTGTCTCGTCAGTTGACTTCACTTGTTATTTGTTTATTTATTGTTGATACGTATTCAACGTTACATTATATCACGTAGGCTGTGTTAGAACTTACGATCATTTTATTTGCACTTGACTCAGTATAATTTTTGTTTTGATAGTATGAATGTTGGATTTCTCGCTTTTTTATCCTGAGAGTTAGCAGTCTTAATTTCTGTCATGTGTGTATTATTTTTTAAGCATTTATCTTCAGATACAGGCAATATAACAATGAATAGTTCGCAAGGGAAGGTGATCAAGTTTTCCATTACACCAAAGCAATCAGGTTAGATCATAGATCATAGAAATTACTTTAACCATTCTGACTTTTTGTGATTATATTTATGAATTAAGAACAATTTACTTTCATACCGTTTTTTCTACGTAACAGTTGAATCTTGTTGCTCTTTAAGACTATAACTTTCAACCACTTAGCGTACGTCTATATTTTTCTGTTTTGTAAACCAGAAAATTTTCCTTACTACATAATTTAATGCATTGCATATACCTTGATATATTCTACTAATAAACTTAAAACTGTTTTTATTTCAATGGACTAATATAGTACTTATTTTAAGTGCTCAGGATTTCTAAATTACTAATTGAAATTGTTTATATTATTGTTGATATTCACGATTATTCATCGATATATTTATGCCTTGCCGATTCCGTCCATAAAGCCATTTGTCACAAGTTTTATAGAATAAATAGATTGTGGGTAGCAGTAGAATACAGGACCCCCGTTTCCTTCCCGTGTGAAACTTATCATCTGGAAGTATCTGAATGTCGGTCCTGATGTTCATATTGGGACCCAAACTCAGTACCTGTTGCTTTAAACGTGAATGCGTTATCCACCGAGATGCCCAGTCTATCCGATGTTTATTTTTTTCGAGTAGTTTCAAGTTAATATAAGGTTTTATGTCGACATTTTCAGTTGGTCAGAGAGTGATTTGCCCTCACGAGTTTAATTTACTGATCTTAAAAGTATCCACTAGTTTTTCTGAATCAATATTTCCCAATATGTTTATTTATTTGATTGTTTTGCCTGAAAATTAGGACCAGAAGTGTTGAAGTTTTACTGTATGTTCTGAGTCCTTTTTTCCATCTTTTTTATCCATTAATGATATACATGATACATAATCATTCGTTATTGATGAATCTTTTATGTAATTGTGACATTGCGTCTAAAGAATTCAACATTCCATTTCTTTCGTTAACATGGAATTCCAAACACTGTCCACTTATTATTGTTTTCCTGGTGGTTTTTGATTTCACAGAAATGCATGATACTTTTATCGCTGTAATCCCAGCTGCCAACTTTCCAGGAGTTCTTCTGACACAACTAGACAATATCAAAAAAGTGACAACACCTTCCTTAGACTCAGATGTTGTATTGGTCGACACAAACAATCGTCTGTCTTTCACTCTATCTGTGGATTTATCTCAGGTGATAATGTATAGTCGTCCTAGCATTTATTATCTATTTTTTTAATCCAAGTTTTAAATTTGTTATTTATTGGCTTTTGTAGATTATGGATTGCTTACGCTTAGCTGAATAGTAGCCTGTGTTTAAAATTTTAATTGGTACTAGGACTTTAATGTTTTTCTTGAGAGATAGCATTTTCAAAACTAGTTCTTTGTCCAATATTTTTGATTGATTCTAAAAAAGGGTTGTCGTTTAACTTAGCGGTTTAATAGTATCGTTGTCTGCTGCATAGTGATAAGAAATTTGTACTTTATGCAACCTATTGAGTAACCTACAGAATACTTTCTTTTGAATTTCATTTTTCAGGACTTGTACAATTTCTTTTCATGCAGAAAATATTATCAAATATTAGCATTGCATCATAAGATAACTGCTTTCATTATTCGTAAAATTATCAACATTTCTTTGTGGTCATCAAACACGCTCATTTTCTATGGATTAGGATAGTTATTCTGTTTGACTGTGTTGAATTACACATGAGTTTGTCGGTTTTGTAACGAGTGCTCCTTAGGATGGAAAGGAATTCTGAATTTGAATTGTACTACTATCATGGCATGTCTATATAATTTCTGTCAGATATAAACGTAATATGTGCCACAAATTAACAAAGAGGCCAGTAGATGTTATCATTCGTTTGTGAGAGGGCTGTGATACTACCCGGATGCCCAAACCGAAGTAGGGCACCACCACGTAAACCTTTCACTTGAAGGTCTAATCCACATGGCGATGAAGCAACGTCAGGAGATTCAGTCCCACGGTAGCCGGTTACTAACAATAGATTCATACACCATTTATTCCCTCATGATCCTGGAGCTCATGTGCACCATCGGTTTGGAATCAGGGTTTTCCAACTCACATAGTTGAATCCTCCGTTTCTACCAGCCCGGTTAAAGCACTGGACATTCGCTTCTCACCCTCTCAATTTTGTAAACTGTTGGGGATGTTAGATCCGCAGAACTCACTTGGTAAATGCCTTAGTTTTGTAATTTTATTTTAAAAATTTGAATTTCTTTTTTTTCGCCAAAAGCGCTCTTTTCACCTTCATGTCATATTTCGCACTTAGGAGAATCTTTAACACTTACTGGTCCGTCCTGTATTTTAGTATGCTATTTTGTAACGCTTCCCAAGGACAGTTTTACGCTATATATATACGTTTTATTTGTGTCTGTTGTTATCGCTCGTGCTTCTGGCTTGTTGCGGAATATAGTTCCCCGCTCGGACTTCGACTTCTATCTCTAGTTAGCGGGGCTGGGACGCAACAGAATAACTAGTTTATTGGTCTTTGGTCACACGTCTTTGTTCCGTTCGCAGACTAAATGAACTCGTAATCGCTTCAAACTTAGCATAAACAACACCCCTGTCGTGAGAAGGCAGAGAGTAGGTCTTCATTATCAGTGGCTGTATACGCGTGGCATTATGGTAACATTTCGAGAGTGAGAGCTGACGCTCTCCACCCTCGACCATACCGGGGCATTTTAGAGCGCTAATCTGTCAAACCCTGATTTTGTTTAATCTTCTTCTGCACTTACAATTTACAGTAGATGAATTCAGGGTTTAACGATTTCTTGCATCATTTTGGATTCCTCCATTTTTTAAATACTTTATTTCATAGTTTCACCTTTATTGATTAGAATTCTTATTAATTTTTCTTTTAGAAACCGAATATCACTGTATCATGTGAACAACTAAAACAGAATCCGTAAGTCTAGTCTTGCTACTGATAATATCATGTTTTGTTGCTTTGTAATGTTTCATTTATTCTAGGTTCTTCAACCCCTAATCATCTCAGTTTATTTTTCTCGTTACTCCAATGAGTCATTAAAATGATTTAGAAAAGTTACAGTTATTTATGTGTTTGTGTTCTTTATCTTAATTACGATCATAATCCACTTACTTCATACTTTTGATTTATTTGTCTATCCATTTCCGTCCTGAGTAATTTTCTTATTTGAATAATAATCTCTGCTTTTTGTTCTGACACTGTTGTTTAAAACAGTTAAAAAACCTCCTTTATTTCAATAATACTCCAATCTGCCGTATGCTATTAATGTTTGTTTCAAATACAGAAAAATGTACCACTTTATTTTTTGGAGCCATTTTATACTGTAATATATTATAATTTATGAGCAAATATATCAGCACGCACCAACCAAAGTCCATGTAACTCTTGTCGTTTTGGAATGGTAATATTTATCATTCTTATTTTCCAACTGATTTCTTTGTTGTAATCATATGGTCGTGAATTTATTCAGGATATTTTTGCTAGTCTGCCTACCGTTATCTCTTATTTTTTGCCAGTAAACTACTAACTTAATGCAGTGTGTTACTGTTACGGTTTCATGTCCTGCTTTTGTGGCCTCATCCACTAATCTTATTTTCGATTTCTGTGGGGTTTTTTTGTTCATAGTTATGACGGCATCGTAGCGGTTCTAGTATGCGAGTCAGCTCTATTAATTATCCTACAGGTTAATAAATAATAATAATGCTTTGTTTTCAATCTCACATCTAGTTATTACTTTACTCTTCTTTCAACTAGCGAGTTTAAAGAATTGTGGAGTGATGGAAATTGCAAAACAATTGTTGTTGGTTCTAATTTTGAATGCCAATGTCTTCCAGCTCAGGGTGGAACATTCGCGATCGCTTTGGTTTACTGGTTAGGGTCGTCGCATGTAAGTTATGTGTATACATTGAATTTACAGTTTCAGATGATCATTGAGGACTACTTTTTAGTGTTTTCAGTAGCTTGATTCATACTTATCCGTTTTAATTTCTAACTGGTTAGGAGAACTGCACAATATCGCTGTAATTTTTAAACTAGGGAAAACCGTTTAAATCCGGTTCAGATTTTCTATTATCAAACTAAATGACTTTTAATTTCTTGAAATATTTTTATTTTGAATAATCGCTCCAATTTATACTTTTTTGTATTTTTCAGATTCCATTAACACATGTGTACTCCATAAGTATTGTTAATTATATTTTTACTTTCGTAACTATTGTCGCTTTATTCCTGTTTCTAATATTCACTCGTTTCATGTAAGTTAGTATTCTGTTGTGCCTGTGTTTTTTCTCAGTATTTTTTGTTTACGTTTCAAAAATAGTCGGAATATTTTTGGTGACTACAGTACCTCGGTAAAAAATTCATATTATTTTAATGAATTTCATCGTAACCCCGATAGTTAAAAAGTACTAAGAATTTCGCTGACAGTTTAATTCAATCAAATGATATAACGTCTCAAATCATCTTATTCATAATCTATTACAAGATGATATTTGACGTATTAAACGGTTGGTTAAGGTAAACGATTACTGGATAGCACTATAGTGATAGTGTAATGGACGATACTCATAGAAGTGTTTATACGCAGTATATACCGATACGTGGTATCAAAGATGCAACAATTGTCTAATCAAATGAAGAATTTCAGTACATCGAAAGCGGAGCGTTGATAGAACACTTGGTGAGGAGATGCGAAGGCAGTTCAAATGAAAGAATTCACCAAAAGATGCAAATGGACTTCTGATTGCCATCGATTGACCTTTTCACAAGGCTATTTCTGACTGGGTTTCCATATTGCTTTATAACTTCTTACAACGAACATACCTTTCTCTTACCTAATGCCTTCTTACAGTAAAATCACCCCGTATTATATTTTTGTTAGACTAGGTTTTCTTGAACCCCAAAAGCCAGTGTAGTTCAATAGATTTTTGAAACCTCCCTAAAATCTATAAGTCTGTGAAATATTTAACCGCACCAACTAATTTGCCATCTCTATCCTGTACACTGCGTCTAAACCCAGCTTTGCTCACTAGATGATCCCAACATACGCGTGCAATATTCCAAAGATATCTTTGTTCAATGAGTATTGACGTACGAATCTCCTTCTATATTTTCAAAGGCTACGTTTCATATGCATAAAGTAGAACAGACCGAACTACTGAGTATAGTGTTTCCTAGGTCGGTGGACAGACATCTCGCTAGCGTCACAAGTGATGCGAGTTAGCAAAAGCTAACCGAACTGTCTGAAATGTGTCGAGATTTTGTCAGACACCATCCCACTAGGTTTGGTTCAACTTTCAAGATAAGTGAAGTAATCGACGCGCCCAACTACTTTACTCACTATCATCAGTTCAGGCGTTGATACAGACCAATCCTGAAGTAACATTTTGCATTGATGCCAGTTTGGTATCCCTTAATTTGTTTTTCCAAACGACAGATAATCGTCGCACGGTTATACAGGCTGGTATTTTAGACGCTATATTGATCAAACTGGTTACTCTACGGTTATCAAGAAAGAATTTTGGTCTCTGCTAATAAACTGGTACGATCAGCAATTGAGATTAATCAGATGGGATCCCTTTCTGATCTCAGTTACTACTGTTACTTATCTACAATGCCTTTGCATTTTCGCATTAGCTGCTCGCAACTGTAGGCGAAAATTGCGTAAATTTTATTTTAGTCTATGTTCGTGCTGCCGTCGCTTGCAAGAGGGAGACATTTAAAATTTATTTATTAATAACACAGTTCATAAACACCTTAAAATATGCGTGTTACTTACACACTGTTTCGAGCAAGCCGCCGGTTGGAAGAGTGTATCTTCATTATATTTATTTTTTCTCAGTGGAGTTTTCCGGTTGGATCAATTCAACATAGCGTTTTGTTTAATGGTTAGCGCAATTGTTTCTTTGGCGATTCCACATACAACTGACAGGCAACCAATTTTGTGCACTATCATCGCTGTTGCTGTTTGCTATTTTCCGTTGGCTGCTTTTTCATGGAAATTCATATTTGGGTTGAATACATTAATATTAATGTAGGTTACAATTATGTCTGTTCTTATACAACATTTTCATGTATGTTAAATCTTTCATTTTAGACATGATAAATATCAAAATTCTCTTAAATCACAGTATTCGTTTTTGTTGTTTCATAATAACGGGTAAAGCTAATAAATGTTTAAAAATGCCTTTGTTTTTAACACACTATCATATATATGAAGGTGTCTCCAGTATTTAAGTAGAATAGTGTGATCGGGAGTTCTTTAATTGAATATTCTTTTTTCTAATAACTCATTTGTTTTAAATACGTTAAACAGCTGAATTTTGATATGTTCAATTATTAGAATGAATTGATTTCATTTTCTTCCGTGGTCTCTTCGTCATGGAATCGTAATTGAGGTAAATATTATATTATCTAGTTGGACATCCAATAGTAGTCTTAAGGCGGTATTCGTCTCAGTTGGTCGTGAGATTCTGTATCGCTGTCTGTCCTTAAAAGACGTACCAGAGAAGGACATTAATCTTGTACATTCCCTCTGCTAGAACAATATTGAATGAGTCAGAGCTTATGACAAACCATCATCGGAATCGGTTACTTCAAGTGACTCTTGTCAGGGTTGTTCTCCTTCTCCATTTTTATTTAACTTTGTCATATACATGCTTTTAGAGATAACACTTTCATTGTCTGATTTTTCAGTTGATCTTCCACCAGGAGATTCACTTGGCTAAAGTTACGCAGGTGATATAGTTCGGTTTGGTGAAGACGCTGACAAAACGCAGTCTTTTGACCACCTTAAGCAACAATGCAAGCATGTTTAAGATGGGGTCCTCAGCCCCCAAATGTAAATGGTTACCTTAGGATTGATTTGGCTTATCGCCTGAATTGATGATAATTAGTAGTAAAACCTGATCGAATTTCAATGATATAGAACTGTCAACTTGAACAGGAGTACAGCTGAAGATGATGAAACTAAATGGATAACCAGTTACCATTATGGTCATCAGTATGGAAAGGAAACTTCTGTATTAAAAATCTAGCTCAGATTAGTCAACCCCGACAAAAACCTATGTTATCACTCATTCTTCATAATTAGGTATATTTAAATCCAAACACTACTCTCCACTTTGCTTGTCATCTATTCAGTTCTCATATGGCGCAATGCTTTACGATACTGAAAGTTGGAGAAAATAGTGGGTAGTCGGTCGAAATATAATATTATAATATAGGAGGTATCGTTCTTGACTTTTGTTGAAATATCATGATCTAATATGTGATCATGCATGTAAATTTTTAATTATCAGTTGCACAATAAGTCTATCATGTGTAATACAATTTATCACTAAGACTCCTTCAGATCAAAATTTGCCCCGGAAACTGCAGGCATCTATTTCGTTAACCACACTTACTACATTGTCATCAATTTAATTTATGTTGTACAGCTCTCTATACTTTGCACTCAAAGTTATGATACTAGTTAAATTATTCGTACATTGCTGCTGTAGTCATAAAAGTCTTTCTTGCCTTTTTTTAATTGCTGTAGCATTGCACCACATTCTCGATACCATGACCTTGTTTCTAAACCGAAAAATTGTTTGCCATTAGTATGGATAGGTTATTTGAGTCCTGCAATTATTATTGGCACATGGTTTGGCTACACAGGAGAAGTTAGTAACAGTGGTCTGTAAGTTAACATCTTTGTATCTGCGATTGTGGATATTCTTATAGTTTTATTGCTCTCATATCTTTTAGGTTTTCCAAGATAAACCTTTTACGTCAATCTAGATAATTATCAGTGCACGTTCATCAAATAAAGTCTTTGTTTAAAGTTTAATGCTAGTCTAGTTAAATTTGTCATGCCTAATTGTGAAATCAAACATTATTAAAACCCAACTAGTTGTACCTGCATACCAGTTTCATGTTCCTAACAAGACTCAGACGCATCTGCCATCGCCTAAACAACACAGATTTATTTCTTTTTGTTTGACCTTTTGAAGACTATCAGTTTCTGTTATCATTTATCTCGTATTTTGCTCACTTAGATTAAACTGCCCTTTATCTGACCCATGTATTCATGTGTTATAAATATTGCTTCTTCGTTAATACAATTTTTTTGTTCACTTTTATCCTTTTAGCTGCATTGGTCCCAAAACTCTCCGTTGGTCTTTTGTTGGTCCAATAACAACAGTTGTTACTTTTAACTTCGTTATTTTGTTTGTAGTTGGTCTAGTCCTTCTCAGAAATTATCTTGTTACTCGCAAGAGTAAACTAAATAAAACAACGTACGTACGCTTTATGCATCTACTTTTGATTCCAGTTTCTAAACTAAAGCAACTAACTACTCATGAAAGATTGTATACGCTTTCTTAGTATTTACGCAAAACCTTTAATCCGAAAAGTCAACATCAATAAAGATAAAAATATAGTATGAATTGGCTTCAAGAATTACCAAACTATTTGATTTTTTTATCGTTACCAAGGTTTGACTTGATAATTTTTAACTGAACATTCAGTAAACTGACAATGATAAAATGATAATATATTTGTAAATATCACATTAAGTAGAAAATTGACGCTTAGTGTAAGTCGCTTTTTCAGAGGATAAATGACTGAATTCTGTCATTTTAGATTTACTGATCAGAAAAAGAACAGAGATATTTCTTTATAGGTTATTCTGATCTGTGAATTAATGGTAGTTCTAACTGGTTTGCTTCCATTTTGTCTCGATTAGTCTAGGTTTAAATCGAAGTAGTTCACTTACACTTGAGATTATTCAGAAAGCACTGCTTTCAGTTTAAGTAAAAAAATATAATCATATTTCTCATTTCGTAATTTGATGTGAACCGGGAAACAAGAAGCCCTGACAAACTACGAAGGCTATTTTTCGGGACGTTATTTCATTTTATTCAAAGCTTGTAAAACACTGACATTTATTTTTGTCCCTAATCTATTCTACAGAACATAAGCTTTCGTTCGAAGTATCATTCACTGCCATACCTTTTTCTGTTCCGAAGCTATTGTAATTTAAACATATTATTTTGCACCCTATATTTCTACTCTAATTCCCAGCTTTGGACATAATTGTATTTTTCCTAATTATTGTACGTTGCGGTCGGGTTATTCACTTATTTATTCATGTACCTTTTTACACTAATCTGAATCCAGTGAGTTCAGTGGTCAGGGAAATAGATCGAGTAGTGTTCCAGCTGTCTTGTCTTCTCTCATTCGTGTGCTTGCCCACCAATCAGGTGACAGAATAGTTTTCTTCTCTCTACCCCATCTTGAACTCACGCGTACTAGTCTCAAGGTTAAGCTGATCAGCCTGTCGCATCAAGGTCGAAATCTAGATTAGACAAGTATCCTCGGCACCAAAAAGTGGGTAGACAAATCAAGGTCATAACAAAGTGGCGACGGAGATTTTTTTTCTATATTGATTGATCCAGAACAAAATGTCTGTATCCTTGGACGACCTTAAAACTATTCTACAAATTCAGCAAGCGCAAAATGATGCAAATCAAATGAAGCTTTTAGATGCACTGATGCAGAAGCTGTCATTACATTCATCCACAACTTATCAGTAAGATAAGTATGAATGCATCACGAATTCTATTTGTGAATTCCATTATGATCCTGAATCTGGTATCGTTTTCAATTCCTGGTTTCACCGTTGCGAAGACATATTCCGTGTGGAATGCTCAAATCTTGATGACGCAGCTAAAGTTCGCCTACTCCTGAGAAGACTCGGGACACGTGAATACAACAAATATGTGAATTTCATCCTGCCACGAAATCCACGAGATGTATCTTTCAAAGAGACAGTCCAAATTTTATCTGACATTTTCGGCGAACAATCTTCATTATTTAATACTCGCTATCGATGTTTCCAAATATCGAAATCCCCAGATGATGATTATCTCACATATGCTGGTAAAGTAAATCGAGAATGCGAACTGTTCAAAATAAACGAGATTACAGCTGACCAATTCAAATGCTTGATTTTTATATGTGGTTTAAAGAATGCAGAAGATGCAGATGTCCGTACCAGGATGTTAGCACGCATTGAACAGGAACCGAATATGACACTACAAATGGTCACAACAGAGTGTCAGAGGTTGATAAATCTCAAGCATGATACCGCGATGGTGCAACAGAAGGCTAAACCTTCCGATTTTGGTTCAATTAATGCTCTCAGATCCTCGAAATTGTCCAAACAGAACACGACAACCACACAACTACCTTCTATCAAACCCCCGTCACCATGTTGGTTCTGCGGAGCATGGCATTTTGCGAAACTATGTCCGTTCAAGAATCACAAATGCCGCAAATGTCATCGCATTGGTCATAAAGAAGGTCATTGCTCATCGAATAAACGTAAGTCTAAATGTCGTAGTGGAAATGCGAAGCAACCACCACAGAGTCAAATCAAAAGCACGTTCGCAGCCTTCAAATTTGGCTTTCAAAGTAAGCGGAAGTACGTAAACTTATTAGTAAATGAAAAACCCATACGTCTTCAATTGGACACGGCTTCTGATGTTACACTGATTTCCAAAAACACATGGCGTAAGCTGGGATGTCCACGCATCCGACCAACAGAACATGTTGCTCGCAATGCTTCAGGAGATATAGTGAAGTTGACAGGAGAAGTCACGTGCAACGTTAAATTCATGGGACATAAGTTCACCGATGTCTGTTATCTTACAAATCGGAACGATTTAGATCTATTAGGATTAGACTGGATTGAGAAGGTTGATACCTTGAATAAATTATTAAATGAGGTATGTTCTCAAAATGCTTCCTTTGAGTCTATCAAAATTCCTCATGATATTTCTAAATCAAATGCCTCCGATGTATCATGTTCTCTTGATATTCATGAGTTAAATGCTTCTGATGAAACATGCTCTCATAATCTTTCTGAATCAAATGCTTCCAATGTAATGTGTTCTCATGATGATGTTAAATCGAATACCTCCGATTTAATATGTTCTCACAATGATTCCAAATCAAATTCCTCCGATGTAACATGTCCTCACAATGATTCCAAATCAAATACCTCAGACAAAGTATGCTCGCGTAAAACTTCAGAACCTCATGTAATTTGTGCCAATGTTATGTCCACAACAAAGTCTTCTGTTTCTTCTCAAATGTCGTCCACATCTCGCATAAATCATCTGCGACAAAAGCATGCAGGTGTATTTCAAAACAAACTGGGCTGTTGTAAGTTCACCAAAGTATCCTTGTCACTGAAGCAAAATGCAAAGCCAATTTTCAGACCGAAACGACCAGTGCCTTATGCTGCTCTGTCAGTCGTTGACCAGGAACTGGACAGATTAGAAGCGCTAGGTGTCATCCAGCCAGTAAATTATTCACCGTGGGCTGCCCCCATAGTGGTCGTGAAAAAGGCAAATGGGACTGTTCGCATATGTGCTGACTTTTCCACTGGTCTGAATAATGCCCTAGAAGATCACACGTATCCACTTCCCATACAGGAAGATTTATTCATCAAACTAAATGGAGGAAAGTATTTTGCTAAGATTGACCTTGCTGATGCATATCTCCAAATAGCAGTTGATCCAGCCTCCCAACCAACACTCACAGAGGCCTTTACCAATATAAGCGTTTACCTTTTGGTGTAAAACCAGCACCAGCTATTTTTCAACAAATAATGGACACTATGTTGGCAAATTTGCCAGGAGTCGCTGTCTATTTGGATGACGTAATCGTTACAGGTTCCAGTAAGTCCGAGTTATTCGATCGACTCGATGCTGTTTTAACCAAAATATCTGAGTATGGATTCTACCTAAAAGAAGAGAAGTGTACATTTTTCATGGACTCTGTGAAATATCTTGGTTTTGTTTTCGATAAAAATGGACGACGCCCAGATCCGGAAAATGTACGAGCTATCCAAAATATGCCACCTCCATCTAATGTAGCAACTCTGCGTTCATTCCTTGGTCTTATCAGTTATTACAGTAACTTTTTGCCACAATTGCATCGCCTCCGAGCACCCATGAACCAATTATTATCCAATAATGTAAGATGGGACTGGTCCAGTAAGTGCCAAAAATGTTTTGACAAAGTAAAGTCATTATTAACATCGGATCTACTCCTTACATATTTTGATCCTTCGCTGGAAATCGTTGTTGCCGCAGACGCTTCTGACTATGGTATCGGTGCCGTCATATCCCATAGGTTTCCAGATGGCAAAGAGAAAGCTATCGCACATGCTTCCAGAACATTAACTTCGGCAGAACGCAAGTACAGTCAAATTGAGAAAGAAGGTTTGGCATTAATTTTTGCAGTTAAAAAGTTTCACAAAATGCTGCATGGTAGAAAATTTACCTTATTCACTGATCATAAACCCCTATTATCAATTTTTGGATCTAAGAAAGGCATACCAGTTTATACCGCAAACCGCCTCCAACGATGGGCTACAATGCTATTAGGTTATGATTTCGCTATCAAATACAAATCTACCTCTGACTTTGGTCATGCTGATGCATTATCGCGCTTAATGAGTGATCATAAGCTTGAAAATGAAGATACTGTTATCGCTTCTATATCAGTGGAAGAAGACGTAAACAGAATGTTGTTAAATTCAACACAAATTCTCCCAGTGACAGCTGCTCAAATCGCTTATCATACTCGCCGCGATCCTATCTTAAGACAACTAGCTACATTTATCCAGCGTGGTTGGCCCCCACGTATAACATCTCATGAACTGAAACAGTATTACCAACGACGCCAATCTTTATCCATCGTAAATGACTGTATTATGCTTACTGATCGCGTAGTGGTTCCAAATAACTTACGCTCACTCGTCTTGCAAAAATTGCACACAGCCCATCCAGGTACTGGAAGAATGAAAGCTATTGCTCGAAGTTATGTATACTGGCCTAACATCGATGAACACATCGAAGATTTCGCGCGTGCGTGCAGAAAATGTGCTACGGTTTCCAAATGTCCACGAAAAGCTGAACTGTATTCTTGGCCATCTCCAAAAGAACCTTGGTCGCGTGTACATATTGATTTTGCTGGTCCATTCCAGGGTTCATATTTCCTCATTTGTGTCGATGCTTACTCAAAATGGCCGGAGGTTATCCCTATGAACCAGGTCACTTCGCAAGACACTATTATGGAATTACGGCAGTTATTCTCCCGTTTTGGAGTCCCAAATATCCTTGTGTCGGATAACGGCACTCAGTTTACTTCGTCCATCTTCTCAGATTTCTGCAAGAGATTTGGAGTCAATCATGTTCGTTCACCTCCATATCATCCACAATCGAATGGTCAAGCCGAAAGGTTTGTGGATACCTTCAAGAGAGCGCTACTGAAGGCAAAAGGGGAGGGGAAGATAAAGGAAATTCTTAATGATTTTCTATTTGTCTACAGAACAACTCCAAACCCGTCAGCACCAAATCAAATGTCTCCAGCGGAAATTATGTTTGGCAGAAAAGTTAAAACTGCTCTCGATGCAATAAAACCAGAGCGAAATCTCATAGGAAGGAGAAACCGAAAGATGGAAATCCAATTTAATCGCCATCATGGGGCGAAAAATAGAATCTTCCAAAACAACCAAACAGTATACGTCCGTGATTTCAGATACTCACCTCCACAATGGACTAGTGGACGCATACTTAAGAGACGGGGAAATGTAATGTATGTGGTGGAAGTTGAAGGTCAAAAGTGGACACGTCATGTTAACCACATACCGGAAAATTCTGGTACTGCACAGAAAACCGAGAAACTGAGTTCAATGTGGCAAATATTCTTGGACAGTTTCGATATTAAAAGTTCAACGACTCACAAAACTGTGCATCCGGAACAAGATCCTATTAGGAGATCGTTACGAAAACGCAGAAGACCAGATGTTCTACAAGTGGACCCAAAGAAAAGAGCATACGTTTCTGAGGGGAGATATCAATGATGATATCTTAACTATTACTTGTAAATAGTGACTAATCATTTTTCTTTTTTTTATTTATTCCAGTTGGTCAAATTAGTCACGCTTACACGGATCGCAACGTAAACCGGTTTCACTTATGCACTCAGTTGAATGGCAGTTATAACACTTTTTTTGTCAAGGGGGAAGATGATGTGAACCGGGAAACAAGAAGCCCTGACAAACTACGAAGGCTATTTTTCGGGACGTTATTTCATTTTATTCAAAGCTTGTAAAACACTGACATTTATTTTTGTCCCTAATCTATTCTACAGAACATAAGCTTTCGTTCGAAGTATCATTCACTGCCATACCTTTTTCTGTTCCGAAGCTATTGTAATTTAAACATATTATTTTGCACCCTATATTTCTACTCTAATTCCCAGCTTTGGACATAATTGTATTTTTCCTAATTATTGTACGTTGCGGTCGGGTTATTCACTTATTTATTCATGTACCTTTTTACACTAATCTGAATCCAGTGAGTTCAGTGGTCAGGGAAATAGATCGAGTAGTGTTCCAGCTGTCTTGTCTTCTCTCATTCGTGTGCTTGCCCACCAATCAGGTGACAGAATAGTTTTCTTCTCTCTACCCCATCTTGAACTCACGCGTACTAGTCTCAAGGTTAAGCTGATCAGCCTGTCGCATCAAGGTCGAAATCTAGATTAGACAAGTATCCTCGGCACCAAAAAGTGGGTAGACAAATCAAGGTCATAACATAATTCTACACCACAGTCCTGTTATTTCATTTTGTAATATCACCGAGTTACAAACATATGTACAGCATCTCACGTTATTTTTGTCTATGACAACCATATCAAAGTCCTTAATACCTTGATTCTTTCTATCTATAATTGTAGACACTTTTTAGTGCTGACGCAGTTGATGCTAACGTTAGGAATTCCATACATCGCAATTTACATTCAGCTATTGGACGCTTTCACTATGCTAATTGTTGTACCAGTTGCGATGGCTCTAACAGCCGTACTTATGTTTCTCCTGGTCGCCGTTTTTGATGAGGTAAGACCATTTCCTTTAATTTAATTCCCACAGCATAAACATACCCGAATATATGATTGAGAAATTTATTTATTGCTAACTGTAACGTATTCTACATGAAATTCACTTAAGTTTCAAGCTGTCAAAACTCGACATGTGTAACAATCGAAATAGTTTTAACATTTTTCACAGATGGTTAAGTACAACTTGACTAACGTGTCTTTGTTCACATGCTCAAGTTGTATTCTGATGTCGAAATGTTTTTTTTTTCATATAGAAGATAGTTGTATTTCACCGCTATTTCTTTCATTTCAAAGATATCTGCAAAATGTTCCTAATTAAAAGATTAGCAAGATTTGTTAGGGTGGACTGACCTCCAAAATAACCGCAAGTTTAGATTGCAGATGAAAAAAAAGCTTCATAGATAATTAGTTACTCGAGGTATCATTTAAGAAGTGTTCGATTACCGATATGAATCGTTCAGATAAATGAATTTGCTGTGATTCATATACTTATTATTGCCATTGGTAAATAGTATATCTGGTGATGCTAGTCATCACCAACAGCACTTCTATTGCTGAAATCGACATATCGAATGTCTCCACTTATCACATATGAAGTGATTTCTGACTCTCTTACATTTAAAAAGCATTAAATTTCATTATTAGTGTTTGAAACAGTTTGATGAACATCAATTTTTATTCACATTATGATACGAATTAATTTTCATGGTAATTACATTATACATGTTCCTCGTTTCTCAATAATAATGGGTTTCGCTGACAGTCATCCTTGTTTTTAATATTCATTCACGTTTAACCATCTGGACCAAAGAACTATGTTTGCCAACAAGTCACTTTTCATCAAAATAGTTCAATTCTTCATCTTTAAGCGTTTTTACTGTGCGCATCCTCTGTTGTTACTATCGTCTCTGTGTTGCTCTAGAAATATTTTCCTAGAGTTTTCTGGTTTTTACTGAATATCTGCCATATGTTAGTTCGTGATGTAAACTACAATGTGGAAAATCTCTGAGGGAAGAAATAGTTGATTGATTGCAGCGTTACATCTATATTTTTAGTTTTTTTGAAGTCGGTCGATTAATATTCAGATATTGACCTTATGAGCGTAATGTTGTGCAATACAATTGTCTTGATTCATGTTTTTATCACTTGTGCGCATGCCTCTGACATGAAACCAATTGTAACATACTGCAGTACTTTTAATTCAAATACGAAATTACTATGTAAATTTAATACTCGACTTGTGGTGCTTTATTGTTTCTGAAATGTAACGTCGTTGTTAATTACTTTTCTAAATACAGTATATTATTTAGTACCTAGTCTAAAAGAATCGTTTTATTTGGTACCATACTTTTAGGAAAATCGTCATTTACTACGATCCTTCATTTACACACATATCGCACGTTCAAGCGAGCACAGCTCTGGAACAATGGCATTGAGAAATCAATGCAGGGGAGAAATTGAGTCAAAGTTTAGAAAATCTTCTCTCCATCATATGGAGCGGGATCACTTTTCGTCAAATTATTTAAGCACACACGCTTTACGCAACCCAGATAACGGAAAAAGTGCCTATCAACATGATAACACAATTAGAAGGAAAACACAAGAATATAGTTCAACTATTGGTGAGTAGCAATATCTTCCACTAATTTCGTTAGTTCATACATTTGCATTGTCTGCACCACAATTTTATTGGGGGAAAATAGTCATACTTTACTCGATACGTTATTTGTAGTACAATGTTTACTACGTCTATATTCTCCTCTTGATGTGTATCATAGTGACTCATCGGTAAACTGTTGATCAACTTTTTGTACCATGTGTCTATTTCATCCTTTAAAAATTATTTTTGTTTTAAATTTGAACAGTAAATAAACACTAAATAACTATTCTTCAGTTAAAAATAAAAATCCCTTCTAATTATGTGTTGTTCGTATGCCTATACAATTATGTTGATACTTTAAAGTGATTTCTGATGGATCATCTGGTCATCGGGTTGTGTTAATATTTTGTACACGAAAATTGCAGAAGGCTATAAACTTCGACTGTTAAACCCAAATAGCAATTATGTTTGTTTTATCAAAAATTGCCAATAATCTTAGAACTATATGTTAGTTCTGTTTGATTGTGGTTTACTGTAAAAGCCGCCTTGCTTTTCGTTTGAATGCACTAAGATATCCTGTACTGAACCGGTCATTCAAAGTAACAGATCCTTATCCTTTGAAAATACTGAATTGAGATGGCAGATGTAAAACCTTTGTAAGACAACACTTTTTTTCTGAATAAGTTCATAATCCAGTTATTAATCCATAGTTATCACCAGTAGCACTCCCCATTTACGAATTACACACGTTCAAGTCTCGCTTCTGCTACTTCATTAGCCGCCTAATGTTATATATATATATATATATATATATATATATATATATATATATATATATATATATATATATATATATATATATATAATCTGTTTCCAAACCGGATAGTTACTGTAATACACTATTTTACTTTTTCTAATCTTTATACAAGCCTCACCTGAAACTGGTAATTCAGTTGTACTTTGCGATTCGGGACAACTAAATGGGGAGTTATTTAATGGCATTTCGTGCACTGAAGAAGATCACACAGTCAATAGTATAAAGAATAAAGGTGATGTCAATCTTGGTTTTCCAAATAATCGATCACATGTTTTACCTTCTTTCAACAGTCTAGTCACTCAGATGTAATCATTCACAATATGTACGTGAAAACATAAATCGGTTGTCCATTTTGACAACTATCAAATTGTTTCTATCCGAAACAGATTTATTCGTGAAAGCGAGATCACCGATTTCTATTAATTCATATCTTACTTTTTACCAATAACGAAACTTTCACTTGTATGTCATAATTTTTTAATGTTTTCTTTCTAAAAACCTGAGCATTTTAAGTGAGTATATTTCATTTGTTTGCTATTTCCGTGTTTATGCGCACAGGATGAATTTCAATTTATAAAACACTAAAAACTGGTTTTAAAATTTTTTCTACTTACTGTTGTATTGTTTGTATACATTATTTCTCAATGTACTGAGCTAATCTGCGATCTGCGTAATCTCCATTTTACATCAAACTAAATTTTTGAAACTATTGATTTGCCACATAATGCATGCACAAATAGGTTAATTTTGATTTCTTAAAATATTTATCGTTTGCATAATTTATTATGATTAGCAATTACATATATCTTTGTCACACAATCGTTACTGCATTCTTATAAAATTTCGTAGGTACTCGGTATATCAAAAAAATGCAAAAACCGAAATTCTCCAAGGCTTGATTAGATTTACAACTGTTTCTAGTAAAACAATAACTATGACAATAACTTATGCGAGTAGGAAACATTTAAATGACATCTCAAGGTTTATTCAAAGCAGTAGAAAATAGATATTTCAGATTCTTTTCTCTCTGGAAACCCAATGCATTTTTTCTTTAGTTCAAACAGAAGCTCATTTCTTGAAAGTGAGGCAAAGTACCATGTTGTATTTTGTAATTACAAAGCGTGAGGAAAACGATATAAATCAGTGTCTTTCTAAATAAATATTCCAACTCAAGTTTGTTCACATTCATAAATCAAAATTAGCAATTCCAAATATAAACAGTTTATTTGTAAATCCCACGAATTAAATAAGCGGTGGAACGTCTGAAAAGTCTTCAGTATACTCGTTGTACATTGTTGGGGTCGTCGATTGTTTTTTGATGTGAAGAAACGATTCCTTACATTTCGATGAAGTGTTTCCAGAGGGTTCACTTAAAGTTCCGTTTGGTTTATTAAAATCCTGAACAAAAATATGATCTCTGAAAGTTCAACAAGGCAAAAATAGTGACAAAGTTTTCGACGGAGAAGAAATTGTAATAATAATAGAAATACTACAACAAAAACAATCCTTGTATTCAATTATTTGTAGATTTAAAAAATTCATGTTTGGAAATACATTTAAATTTAGCACCTATGCAAACCAATATAAAGTGAGTAGAAGCCAAACACAACAATTGAAACTAAAAACCAAAAGAAATAACGCAAATTTATCAAAAACGTTGTGAGATAATTCAGAAACATCTTACGTATACAACCTACGTTTTATTGTTTTTTTCGTGAGAACTTTTATGTTCACTATTTGGCGATATTCTGATTTCCTGGGATGCCTGTGTATAAATTTAGCAAAGATATTAGTAACATACTCTACTAGTGATAATTTACAGCTGTTGGTTAAAAATAAATTAGATAAACAGCCTACATTCTGTGTTAAAAGTGGTAAATCAATCTTCATAGATGGATATCGGTCTATTTCCAATATTCTTATAAAATTAGGAATACTTATGGTTGAGGCACTCACCTTTAAAAGATTTTTCATACATTTATTTGAAGATTGTCGCCCTCACGAACTAATGAACACATTTGATTCATGGAATACAAATAAATATGACTGAGGAGTTCAGTAAACATATAGACGCATCAAATATTTTTGCTGGTCGAAATTTGACCAGGTTCCTTATATTGAAAAATTTGAATACCGTGATGTGCCTTTCAAAATCGATATTCGCGGACAGACTAATATGTTTTTTTATCGTTCAAACATTACGTCAACGTAGCATTTTCTACTTTGATTATTCTAGAAGAATAACGATATTTGAAAACATTACTTAGTTTTTGAATATCGATATTATTGTATACAATTTAGGAAGTTTGCAGTGGCAAAGTATGTCAGCAATTGTTAGATTTCTAAGTTTCCCGAATTGTGAGAATAATGTGTGCCAAATGAGAAACTAAATATATCAGTATCATCAAGAATGCATATACTTAACTCCAGCCCACTAAGATAAAGATAACTCAAGTGAAACCACAGAGTACTAACATCATCTAGAATTTAGACGTAAGAATAAAGCTCAAAAGAAAGGAATGAATAGTGATAAGATTAAGTACAAATAATGAAGCATGTTCAAAACTGACAAATTATTAAACCTTATCACATAAAGTTCACCACCATATGTTAGAATCTTATCGCGAACCACAACATCAAAGTCTTTACATGCCTCTAAACTGCCGGGATTCGTAGTTGAAAGCCTCACGAAGTGGTGCATAGTCTTGGTTTACCTACTGCCTTTTCTAACTTATTCTTACACGTAAAACAGGTCCAAACCACTTCTGTTGATGAACCGATGGTGGTTCTGACATGGATATTTTATCCGTTGAGCTACCATCGTTTTCTCGAATAGCGTCATCAGCACAAATTTCAGGCAGAAGCGATGTGCTTCAATTTCTTCATATGTGACTGACAACATGCCTTGTTTGATCTTCTTTATTTAAAACCTAAGTATTTTCCCAGTTGAATTTGTGTCCATAATTGTGCGCGTCATCATGGCGTTTGACAGCTAGTTGGTCTTCATGGGTACAAAGATGAAGACAGCTCACTGTCCGATGTAGTATTTTTAGCAATTGTTTTGATGACGTTTTGCTTTTTTTCTTTTGTCATTTCACATTGGTTTGGATAAGATTGAAGTGATTTGTAATTTTATAGATATATTCAACTGGAAAATATTGAAATTCTGAACAAAGGAAATATGTAGGCAACCATAGAATTTTTGAGAACTTGACACTAAGTTCAATCAGTAAACATATCGAAATCAACTCGACCGGGAAATTCATTAAAAAATATAAATCAAATATCATGTCAAAAGAGGAGGCCATCAAAATAAATGTTCAGACAATGAGAGGTTAAAGGTCAATAATAACCAATCAAATTGGGTGGTTCGTATTATTCTAGACCAATTATTTCAGCGAGGAAGCTACATGGTATATAGATGGATCTGATCTATTTTAGCGTCACGATATTTGTGCAGGTGTATGTTAACAGTTGTGGGGTTTTGTTATAAATGCCAAGTGTTTTAAAGTTAACAATTTCTGATGATCAGACTCCATATTATTGATTGCATTTATCCGGAACATAGATCAACGGCGTTCTCCAAGTAAGCTATTTCTGCTTTCTCTCTCCTTTTAGCCTGCCATCAATATATCACGTTTGAAAATAGATATAGTACTGCACATTCGGCTAGGTGTACAAATTCTCCAGTAAGATCATGACAAAAGGAACACATTTTTTGGTGATTTATTTCTTAGATATATGGGAAAAGCAAGAGATTAATACATCTGATTAACTTGATAACAACTTTATACCTTTGGCATAGTAATCAGCAAATGTCCTGTCGTTAAAGAACGCTTGACATGCGAAGCATCGACTTGAACTTCATCTGGTAAAGCTAGTTGGAAGACCTAGAAAAATAATAGGCAAAATATGCATTTTTGTGAACACATAAATCAACAAAACAGAGTATTTTGTAATCGATTTACGCCATATCGACAAACGACCTTTTTCATTTAGCTGAATAGATTTAAGACAGGTCGAATAAATACTCTATACTAAAGCAATAACATGATAAGTTGTGTTTGTATAACAAGAAAAGAATTTACTTCAATCTTATGATTTCCCAGGTCTATCAACACAAGAATATATTCCGATGGCGTCATATGTAATAACTTTGGATTACTGTTCAATATTTAACTTTGTAAGTTACTATTTCACTGACTTTACATATAACTAACCATTCTCAAAGTATTGTACTTCCACTCGAGAAATCCATAAGGAAATACGAGGTGAATCGGCATCGATTTTTATCAGGAGTGAATTCACTCAACAGATAGCATGTTAGCAATAAGACCAGATATGGGAAGAGAATCTGAAAAGTGCGGTGTGTATATCAATTAATATGTGTGCATGATTAGTGAATTATTGATTTACTGTTTACAACCAATAAGAGAATAAGTAACAGACGTGCAAATAATCACACATATTGGTATGTACGTAGATATTGGACGACTGAATTACAGTAAGGGATTAATCAAAATACATTGACCTTTGTTTGGACCAATTTTATCAATCCATAGGCAGGATATATTGTGTATACATAATAGTGAAACGGCCTACTGCACTATGATAAAGACATGATACAGGAAATCTTGGACATGAATTTCAGGTTACATATGTCTAACGCTGAAGAATAATTCTTCACTCTTACAACTGTGAAACTACTTAGCTTAGTGAAAAAGTCAATCACGAACCTATTCAAGATACAGCTTATATTGTATACAAGGCCATTTAAAGTGTCTTAACTAGTCAATCATTGTTGATTAAATCGCCCAAATTCAAAGCCAGCCGCTAATTGCTCCCAGTTATGAAATATAGGTTGAGTAGTACATCATGTTTATTGGTACACTGAGGGACATCGTTAGAACTGTCCTCTAACCATATTATCATCACTTTAATAACTTAGTGATTTTTTCGAAGTAATTTACTATGTCTACAAAAACGTATCGAAGTCAACTCGGTTAGATTCCGTTTAAAAATTAGTTGATCCACAAGACAAGGTAGAGGTATGTACCACTGTCATCTCATTTTCCCATCTTATCATTCGAAAACTAAGGTATTTACCTTTGGATTTACAGCCATCAGGCATTAAATGCCAAAAACATTGTCTACTGAGTTTCTAGAAACACTGAGTTAAAGTTTCCAGAAATTAACGGAATCGTTTATAACTTGAGCCATGTGAACTACTGGAGTTCGATTACCAGAAGTATTCTCAACAATATGTCTCAAATCTGACCATAACAGCCTGATAATTTGTAACGTCCTTTATTTTAAGACATTTAAATGAGTAGTAAGGAACTCCGAATCACCAAGCCCACACGAATAAGTAAAAACGAACCTACTCGTCTGTTGTTTATCAGTTTTCATGATTATCTTACCTTTCCTTTAAGTGTTATTCGAACGTAATTGATTTGTATGTCGCATTTTATCAAAGCTGTATCCATATGCCTATTATGAAGAAAGTATTTTGAGTAGGAAAAAAACATTAAGATTTAATAACATCCCAACAATAATATTTATGTACCATCAAGGTAAATTCGGGTAATTTCTCACGACATAATCATAAACAAATTGTATCTTAACAGAAAGTATAATTCAAACTTGATAAATCAAAAAAATTTGACCGTATAGTGAGAACATTGTTCAATAAAAAATTAATAAAATTTCCGAATCCTTATTAAATGAATATTCAGAGCTAATCTCAACTTGAGATCGATTTTTTGCCACAATATATATGTAGTATAAAAACAAGTGAATACTGGAAAGCAATCCCTTTTAAAAAGAATTCATATTTTGTCAAAAGCTTGCAAAATAGTTTCCAGATACTCTTCTCATAGAATACATACATCGGATATTTACATTGTAACTCGTTTTGCAAAGCCTGTCTAACAAAAACTATCAGCAATTTATTTAGTTTTTAAAGCTCTCAGATTATAGAAAGATTTGCAGCAAAAAACAGCTGAAACTGCGATAACAATTAATGGCTAGTGGACACCAGGTACTTATCTTGACTACATAGATCTGTTTATAATCCCCTAGTGTTTGAAGTAATTATCGGACTTTAAACAATGAAACGTTTCAGTAAAGAATTTATTCTCGACGATATCATTTACTGAATCTGTGTAATCGTAATTTTGAGTAATTTTTATAAGTAGCAGTGTTCAATATAATAGAGGTGCGTTACAAAAAATCAACGATGCAATACTGAATACATTATAATAACACTCTTCCACTTACAGATTATCATATTCAATACTTGAAACCTGACAGTCATGACTATATTTACGCAACACTACTTCATTTTCATAGACTTTTACATTCGCACTCGGATGAGTTTGACTATCTTTAATGATTTTTTAAGCACTCTTCTGTTTTAATATAGAATAATATATGTAAAAACTACCCAAAAATAGAATTGTGCGGCTTTAGAAATTTATATCTCGAAGTGAAAATTTTCTTTACTGAAACATCTTCACGCTTTTTGATGAATAAATGGGATTTTCTCGCTTTCTATCCAGTTTTTACTGACCTTAGCATTCTTCCTTTCTGATGATCAGATTTGAAAAAATTATTCATGAGATAAAGAATATTCTTAACAGTTGACTAACATATTATTATTATTAATGTATATTACTGTAATGTAAATTGAATCTAGTCACCTATCTAATTGATACTTTGTAAAATTTTATAGAAATGATCACCGATGTGTAATTCTGATAGAGCATATTTACTTTCCTAAAGTACAAATAACAAAATCTGTAGTCATTATGTGTAAATTTTATTTTTGAAATAATCTCAGTGATTGAAATTTAAATAATTCCAACGTTTCGTCCAGCTAACTTATCTGAACTTCTTCAGGGTAATAATCAAAATCATCAAAGAAATATATGGCTTTTAACAATTATAACTATACTGTGTTAAACCAATCAAATTTGGATGTTAATTTTTGTAAAATAGTATAAAACGAGTAAATTAACTACAAATCATGTGGAAAATCCAGCTACATAGAAATAATTAACTGAAACAAAAAAATTGTGTGTGAGTGTGTAGGTTTGTATGTATGTATGTGTGAGGTTAATTACTGATATTCTGTGTTAATATGTTATATATGATTTATAGTTAACTGACTCATTTTATACTATTTTACAAAAATTAACATCCAAATTTGATTGGTTTAACACAGTATAGTTATGATTGTTAAAAGCTGTATATTTCTTTGATGATTTTGATTATTACCCTGAAGAAGTTCAAATAAGTTAGCTGAACGAAACGTTGGGATTATTTAAATTTCAATCGCTGAGATTATTTCAAATATAATTTTCATATATAATGACTTCTCTATACTCGGCGCCCAATTTCTCTCAAACTATTCGTTCTAATCTTGACGAATATTCGTATAAAATCTGTAGACTAAAATAAAGTTAAATTTTGGTATACTGATGTGCGTACAACTCGTACTCTGAGAATTGTTTTTCTTTGTATGAGTAAAAATGAGAGAAAAAAGATGAGAAAACATCAAATTGTATGATTCATCTTAAGATCACTATTCACACAAAAATAAAAGTTGCTAAGCATGAAAAACTCACTTATATACAGCAATATCGAGTAAGTAAACATCTTGATTGTCTAATATATCTTCCTTGAGGTTGAAATCTATCCTAAAAGATTAGACAGTTTGATTATGCAATGAAGTCATAAAAGCTGTCTATCAGGCAGCGAAATTTCATTAAGTTAAATCCCTAATTCGAGACACCTTGTTCATATTAATTGTTTGAGGATTGTAAGTTCATGGGTAACTAAATATCTGGATCGTTAAACGTAACGTTGGTCACAGCTTGCTAACTTCAGTCAAAATGAAGAATTACATATCAATATCTTATAAGGATTGCGAAGAAGTAATGCCCCCTAATGTCCAATTTATTTCACTTACAAAATGTGTGAATTTACACTTAATCAAGCTTTCATAGTGATAATCACGTCAAACACCATATCTATTAGTTAATCTGTCCAATAAGTTGGAGTGAATTCTGGCTACACTGATCCTCTGTGCATCTATCTTATTCTAGTAAACTCTATCACATGTATTTATCAAAAGGACACTTATTTTATTAGTGTGCCAACAGTTTACACTCCTAAACACGATCGTAAATAATTACAACTGGTGATTTATGAAAAGACCTGATCGTATTTGTCCCCAATATGAGGTGCTCAATCCATCAAGAACAGTTGTTCTAGAAGAGTAAAATGAATCCGTTCATTCCATACATTCGTTGTAACAACCCGAATACCGAAAAATTGTAATATTTAGGGGGTGCACGTGATGGTTTCACTTCTGGAAATCACTTATCAAAATACGTGATAACACATACGAGATTGTGAGTGTGTTTACATAAGAAAGACGAAGTTACCATCGACTTTTCACAGCTATGGTAACGTACTTTGCATAACCGTTAACTACTTAATAATTTTTTTATAATAACCTCCCAAATGAGCATTCAGTGCGGAACAAACGTTTGCTTCCTTCGCACATATCCCAATCAATGTTTTTGATCTCGATATTGTTTTTGCAAGATGAGCGCTAATTATTTTTAAAACAAGCCCATATTTTGTAGTTTTCTGGGTACAGATGAATTATTGAACACAATGGAAAAAACACGACAGAATTTAGTTCACAGAAACCATTTTCAAAGAATAATTTATACGAATTTATACTATTTTAAACTTTATCAATATGCTGCACTTGGATATATCGCACCTTGATTATTGCATAAAACTACCTTATTTGTCAGATTTAGTGTAAATTAATTCACGAATGATATTCACGCAACTGAAGCCAATACAGTTCCAAAACTACAATCAAATGAGTTTATAATTCTCATCGATACTAACAGATTGCGTGTCATAAACTACATTTGCTACATTAATTAATGACGACTGTCTGAAAAAAATATGGAATTACTTATTAACATATTTGATGCTTTAACCGAAAAACTTAATTCTAAAACGCCGTTGTATTTGAACTTGTTGCTACCCAAACAACAGTATTATTAGTCAGTCATAATCAAAGTTGGGGCTGACAAAGTTGTGCATTAGCCTAAGCTGTCAATCTACATTGACGCGATAAAATCAAATTACCAATATGAATAGTAAAGTATATATAAAACTGTATTTTGAACTGGACTTCATTGGAACAAAATTAGAGTTATATATCACTGTAATTTTCTATGGTTATTCGATAGTTTATTTGCTACAGCTATTCAGTGTAACGTCTGACGCATTTCGAATGAGACATGGTGTGTTTTTTTTATTTATAGCCATGAAATTTCTTACCACTATGGAGATCCAAGGCTAGCAGATGTGATAACCTTACAAAAAATAGCACGAGACGAATTATTTCTATATATTCATTCAACTCTACATCTGGGTAGGTTTCAAATTAACTTAGCACACTGTTTTAAAGCCTTATCATAGTTGTACCGTTGAAGAAGAGAATTTTAAACAAAATGACACCTTAGTTACCTTTATGTTTTTGTGAGTTGGGTCTCTGAACATTCCTGTTATCAAAAATATAAGTTAGTAATATTCTTAAACACTAATAGTGACAACGGATGAGATTATGAATGTACTGATCAGAAACCTGAACACAGAGAAACATTATTTGGGTACATAGTAAACATACTAACAACCAGAATTTACTAAATTCTTCATGTTCATGCAGATTAAGGTTTAAGCTTGCAGCCACCAACATATGATATTCACAATAGTGTTTCCCAGAGTATCCATTTACTCCCGATCAACACTGGATTCATCTATATCATTTTTCAAGCAACTACTGGGGAAGCTGTTTTATTATTTATTGATGTAATATACTTAATCTATAGACTCAGAAAATTATGTCTTACAGAGTAGTTTTGTCTTTCCAAAAAACGTAGATCTTAGTTCTTCTCATTAGTACTTTCTTGATTTACACTATTATTACTATTGTTCTTCCGCTTACATATTATCCAATATGATCATGTTCGTCAGTTCAGTTTTCTCCCTAGTGATGTAATTATGTTATTTCACATTTAAAGTAAATTAAAGAGAAAGTAGCTCTAGTCAAACTTCTGTCCTCTATTCACATCATCACAGATCATTCTTGTTGTTCACAAGCGTATAATATAATTTTGCGAATGAGTTGTAATCTTTTAAAGATGATAAAAATAACCTATTCGATTGATTTCAGTTTATTAAGACTATGTCTAAAATGTATCAAGTGGTAGATGTCAATGTTTAATTGAATTGTTAAACAATCTTAAACTATACCTCTCAAGCAGTGAAACCATTAAATCTCAGTCTACATACCGTAATGACCAAATGAAGTTATACTGGTTAGAAAACTTGTCCCTTTAAGTCCTATCATGTGAGGTATGTTCTTTAGGGAAAGGTAAGACTAAATGCAGAAGAAATTGTATAAGGCTGTGTGTGACTGGTCTCAGGAAGTTGTCCCGTAAACTTTCCTGTCACCCTCTCAGGTCGCTGAAATCGGAACTAATCCAGTGTCCTTTTCAGGTACATCAAAAAATCTTTCTACGGTGGGGGAACAGGGAAGTGACAACCTCCCTCACACTTCTACCAACATACGAGATCACTCGGTTCACAATCAAACTCCATCTTCGTCACTGATATAACAATATAAAGAGTCGAAATTGCATTCGTTCACTCATTATGATTTTCGTTCAACATTACTTCCATTTGCATTCAATGTGATAGTTACCCAATGTAGTATTTGCTTTGTTTTCCCGTATGATATCTTATTCTTTATAACATACGATATTCGTGTGTTCAATTGACATGTTCTATGCTCAGGATGACACGCAGCATGTAATTCGTTATAACTCTAGGGATTTTTCATTTAAATGATTGCATCTTAATTAATAATCAAAATGTGTGGACAATCAATAAGTAAATGAGTGTATTTCCGATTAGGGTCATCGTCGTGTTTTGGGGTAATAGATCTTCATTTGTACCAGTTTTTGTATTCTCACTTTTGCGTCGTGGAAATTGCAATGGTTCCTCGTTTTCGAGTGTAAGTGATAAGCGATTCCGACATAACAATCAGCGACGACCAGATATAACAAATAGCGTTCAATCTAGAAGACATAACAGTCACCAAACATCACTTGTACACCCACTACGAACCCTCATCTTCTTCCTTCGAATTCTTCAACATGTGCCACCACTGTAAACGATTCGAGTTCACAAAATGCTATTCCAGGTCCCTAGAAGCCACTCTTTAAACTACATGTTGGGGATTTTAATATCCAAAACCAATGTCATATTGAACAATGAATATCACTAGCTAAGACCGTAGAATTTCACACCATCGATGTATGCTATGCCACAAAAACACACACAGGATTTTAACATATTCACCAACTTAACCTTATCTAGCCATTATAGAGAACCAGAGCAATATACTATTCGCATATTTGCAAATGCGACAGCAACCTCTCGTGGTTTATATTAAATACTGAAAAGGCACTTCTTGACTAGATTCCTGTCTACAGTAGATTGTATGCTGTTTATCAGTTGTATATTAAGATCTCGGAAATATAAGGACACATCCCCTTACCTCTTCATCAGTTCTCCCTATGGCTTCACTCAAGTTCGAAAGAAGTAAAAAATGAGTTTACTTCTATTCATTTTTAGTGGGAGCGGGAAAGCCACAACAGGAAGATTCCTAACGTAACGACTGGAAGATGAAATGGTCAAGGATGCATTGGAGACAGAATTAGCTAAGCACCAAGTAGGTTATGGAGAAACATTTCACCATAAAGAATCTTGGAAAGACATTAAAGAAGCTATGAATACAGCGGTGACATCTATGAGCAGGTTTCGGAAGACCAGTTAACTTCAGTGGGTTAGACCCGAAAATTTATCCCAATAGGTTTGGAGCACGTTGAGGAGTGACAACTTAAACGTAAATAAAAAAAGGTTACTCACCGACCATAAGCAGAAGTGGGCAACAAAAAATATTGTAAAGGCAGATGCGATAGGTAACACTGGGTAACTCTATCAACTGGTCAAGGAAACAGATATTCAACAGGTAGGTGTTAGTGAGGATATCTCGAAGAAATGCAGAGTTATTATTCACTTTCTATCTAGGAAATTGGATAGATAGGACCAGACTTGAGGAAACTGTTCAATCGGCCTAATCCTATTGTTCAGTTACACTGTATGCCGAATGGACGTAAGTAGCAAAGCAAAGTTCCCCGACTGGGGTTGAGAAGGCTACAGGTAATATGAAACGCGAGAGAGCAGCAGTCCTTGATAAATTAACCCCAGGGATCTTAAAGGATGGTATCCTTAGTTCAGAAAAAAGATTCACTGAGATACCGGCTAGAATTCGAAAACGAGACATAATCCATCTGAATAGTCTCGATTGCTGACCATCCCAGTTTATAAGGAGGGTCGAAAATCCTCTTGCGACAATCACAGAGGGATCGGTTTGACTAAAATAGTGTCTACAACATTAGCATCAATAATACTCGGACGCCTAACTAGAACTTGTGAAGAGCGACTTTAAGAAAATGAAGCTGATTTTAGACCTGGACGAGAATAAGCAGGTCAAATATCCATTATTCCTCGTGTTTTAGAACATGGAAATACTTATTAAGTCACCAATTTAGAAGCGTTTCTTAGTCTTAAAGCAGCAGTCAGTTCTGCTGACCAGGAGGTTCTGTGCCACTGTTTGTCATTGATAGGCATGACATGTGTAGGCAGTCTACCCAGACACAACTGCAACTGTCAGAGCTTATGGCGTGCTCTTAACCGAAAGTGGCATTTGTCAGAGTTGACCTTAGCGTGCATTTCGATTTAATCTGATCATCGGTATCCTTCTTGAAATCAAACTATTTTCAGCTCATTTTCCAGGGCTCGTACTCTTACCAGAAGTTTCGCTTCTCAACTTAGAGTACGCGGATGACATAGTCCCGCTTGGTGAAGATGCTAACAAAACTGTTAGTCTGATGCATTCAGGTAGGCTTAGACTATATGGTTAACGTTCTTGTGACAACCGCACTCAGTGATTGGAGAATGCATGACATGGCATTTTATTGTTTGAAATGGGGCAGATGCATTCACTGTTTATCTTCCTTTTGATTTTGAATTCCAGTAATCCTTCATCTATACCTTCCAACATTGTATTTTTAAATCATATTTCCAGGGTTTATCCGTATGTTTTATCATCGGTAATACATTATTTTGATCTCGTTTGTTCTTTTCATCTCATCGTATGAATCAAGTATAGTAACTTGGGACAATGCATACCTGTGCCAAGATGTATGTTTATGATGTCTGTCTGTGTATCGATTTACACGATAACTTGTGTTAAAGAGAAGTACGGATAGCTAATGAGTCACCGGAACGTACTAGTCTTTTTTATGTTCACGCTATCGATAATATGCATACCGTAAGTATTTCCCAAAGTATTAGTTTAGTACAGTATAAGGTTCAGTAAACACTCATACCAGGATTCGTTATCACATATGTTCAAATTTTCGGTCTATCTATTTGATTGATATTTAACTTGACATTTTGAATATAACGAAAACGAAGAAAACAGATAGTCCTTCAGGTGAAACAATATCAACAGATAGTGTTCATAAATAAATCAGTAAGCGGTTTTGTTTGGACTAGACAAACAGTGAACGAAATACAATAACGAAAAAATTATACAAACGTACTTAGCTGTGTTAATATTGTATGGTCTACCGTCTTCGGCAAAATATTTTGTGATTACTCGCGATTCTATCCTGAGAAGATTTTAATACATAAAACTTTATATGTATATATCACGTAAGTTTATTTCTTCAACTGTCTTAAAACTTTAATCTATCTTATTTCATAACCGAAAAGATACAAAAAACGCCCTAAAATTATTTGAGGCGATCAACATTATTTAAGATTATTTGGTGGTAAATTTTGATAACTGCCTTTTATTGAAGCATGCCAGACTAAAGGCTTTTATGAAAGAGTTCAAGGGTTTCAAAGCTGTTGATGGTTTCGGTTGTGATATAAATCCCATGAATGCACTGAACTTTTATACACAAACTGAACGCATGTATGCAGCTCATCAATATACCTTATCTTCGTACAATAAACATATCCAAGAGCCAGAGGTTTCATTTGATTGATACCAAATTCAATCAAGTAGAATCAATCTAGTTTCTCAAATAAAACAGCAGCACGAGTAACTTTTTGAAAACTAAGGATGATAACAGCGGGAAGTATCGATCAGCTGTTATTTTCACTTTCATTGGTGAAACTCAATATTGTCTGATCTATAGGTGAACAGTTGTGTCACCTAAACTTCCATATAGTTCTTTAAAATTCACCAGTAACTTCTAATGGTATCTAAGAATTTTGACAATTTCAACCTAAAATTCAAAAAATGAATTTACCAAAGAGATAAAGAATTTATATGTGCCTTGGAAATGAAGCAACTTTATTCGTTATCCAATGCATTACATATTCTAAGGCTCTCCATGGACTATTTGTGACTCTGAGACAGGCGCAACAGAAAGGTTCCGATTTTTTAAGGATCTTAAGATAAATATAATGCATAAGAAATTGAGCACTAAAAGTTTGTGATTAGCTTTCCAAGGATCCGTCAGAATCTACACAGGAGTAAAATGAAATCTGGAGACTTTTCAGAATCTGCTATTGTGTAGTCTTTGTATAAAATGCAATTATAAATGGTTGTTATGATCGGTAGAAATGTCATGATACCCAGTACATCCATCTTCAAAGTGTAACCTTTGAGTTATAATAAGAATATAAATCAACATTGTAGTTAGATATGGCTGTTATTTATTCAAGAGAAACACCTGTTTTTTTCAAATGAAATGCCACCCTTTCAATCATCATCCGTAACTGATCTTACTAACTGTTTTGCTCCTACGAAAAATATTTGGTCCCCATACACATATTATCTTTGTTACCAGGCCCTCCTGACATTTTGCTTGTACTCTTTATTTTGTTTTCAATTAACTGAAGTATATGTTCAACCAGGAAAATGTGTATGGAAACCTGGATTATAAATAAAAAAAGCATATCGATATATTAAAAAATCTGAGTTTTGACTTTCAAAATCGGTAATCCTTTACTCAATATTGACTTCTTGTCAAAGTGGTGTACTTGTAAACGTAAGTCTAATTTAGCATATATATGGACAACAAAATTAATGTTTACACATCTCATTAGGATTCCTATTTCATTAATTAAACATTAAATGGTATATTGTGAATTAAGTACCGTGAGGTTTTTGTGTGTTGTCTTGATTTTTCTTTTTGTTGCATATATTCATGTGTTTCAATTCGTGATTCGGGTGTGTAAGGAACTTTTTCAGACCAAAATTCTTCTAAACTCACAGTTGTGCTGTGCGAAAAACAAAAGTTTAACTAATAAAATAAGAACTGTATTGTAAAGGACTATAACAATCTACCATAATTTGATAAACTTATTGGTGACATTTAATGATAGGAGAACTAGGCTTACCATCCTCCCTAACTTAGCTGGCAGCATGTACGAGTATTTAAGCTACCTGTTCCTGCCATCTAAATATTTTAACAAGTTATGTTTCTATCTGTTTTGACACATCATTGTGTCTACTAATCGCACGACCTGTGTCAGGCGTGTTGGTGAGACCATACTTTATGGACGACCTTTGAATGAGGCTGAAGTGACCTTGAGAGTATTAGCCAATCAGGAAACAGATAGTATAGAGTAGAAATATATTATGCAAAATTAAAGAATTAAAATGGATACACTTCTTTTACAGGGTTCAAAGACTTGTCAAGGTTAGAAAAAGGTTCAGAAGTTCTAAAATCGTAATGCATACGGTAGAAGTGTGGTGTGTTCTACCTATGTAGACATAAGTATATGGCGCGAGTTAGGAACGTAATGTCTGGCAGCAGAAGATGGGAGAAGATCAAGAAAGAAAGAGCGGGAACGCAGTGGAAATTGTATGGAAACTCATGAACAATGAAAGGACAGACAATCGACTGATGTTTGCAACAGAAACAGTCAAGTTTTTTATGATCGATTATTATTTTGCAAATTAACGATTCACTATATGGTTGTTAGATTTTAGCAACAAGTTCTGTAATTTGTCGATAAATACACTCGATTGTCCCCACTGGTATTCATGTTCACTGCAGAAGGACTCCATAATAGTCAGCCTCTGCAACCGTGTTAAGGTCGCAAAAACTATTTCAGCTTCGACCACATAGCTTCGATATTGTTTGTATGCACTCCGTGTGTGTAAGCTTATCACTGTTATTACGCATATATCCCTAAAATACTCATACTACTTAACAGTCGAAGCTTCAGTAACATCTGCGAATGTTGCAGCCAATGTTACTCGTGCTTTTATTATACCGTTCGCAACAATTATCAGGACTTGCCTTAGTCTCGATCTGGATCGAGCAGACTGCCAGAAGACTTCTTCCTCCAACATATAACACACCGAAAGACAACACCATCACGGTAGTCTGCACAAGGTCCACAAGTTATTTGACTGCCGCGACCACAAATAAAAGGATTTCTTATAGTCCCATTTGTTGTAGCCACTCAATTTTCACGTCTTCACTAAAATCCTCTGTGAAGCGATCGTACGTGAACATCAGAAACTGAAATTGGCGTCGTGACATTGAAATCCCTCAAACGCTTTTGAATGACTCGTTCATAAGTTATAGTCTCGCAGTCATTTTATATTGTAAACATATTGTATTGCTTAAACAGACTTCTAGGTATTGGTATCTGGCTCTTGTAAGAGTAGTGACTGTGTTCACAGAATTTTGTTTTTTTCTTAAATATAACAACTGTTTCGTTCCGTCGGGTCAAAATTATTCTATAAACAAGATTCAGCTTACCAATACATAATATTCAGAAATGAGGAATATCTGAGCGAACAACTGTTTTCAATAACTTCATCATCAGGCTCTACAGTTATAAGTCCATAATTATGATATTTTACAAAGGCCAAAATAAGACATGTATGAATGAATTTCACAATTTCATGTGTTAAAAATGGTGATCGTTTGCATCTGTTACGACATATATACTTCAAAAATTGTGTTATTTGCAAATTAGAAAGGTCGTTTAAAAAGTTCAGAATGATTTTGAGTAAAGTGACCAGTCACAATCAGTAAAGTGGTATTATAGCAAAAATGAAAATGCAAAAAAATTGTGTGAATAAAATGCATAGTAGAATTTCGTCTTGTCAATTGAGATAATAATCATAATAGTAATGATAATAATATTGTTGTGTGAATATAATATTTAATGCACAAATACCCTGGTACGGCCGAGAGTGGGGAGAGTCCGCTCTCCCTCTCGAAATGCACTCACATGGCCACGTGCATACAACCACTGTCAGGGCAGTCCTACTCACTACCTTCTCGCGGCGGACGTGTTGTTTACGAAATTGAGAGAACGAAAAACGAATGTTCGGTGCTTTAACCTCGATGGTGGATACGAAGGATCCAACTAGGGGAGTTGGAAAACCTAGATTCAAAACCAATCGTGCACATGGGTTCCAGAGGAAACCAATGACGTATGAACCAATTATCGGTCACCGGCTACCATTTGACTGCATCTCCTGACTTGGCTTCACTGGCTTGTGGAGTAGACGTCTATGTCGAAGGCTTCAATAAAACCACCTGCTTCGGTTTGGGAACCCGGGTGGTATCACACCGCTCACATAAACCAAATAATGACTACTACTGGAAAATATTCTCGCTTCATTTCGCATTCAGTTAAATCCCACTCAAAATCATTTGATAACAATCGTTTTTATTTCTTTTATTCTACGTCACTTATGAATTTCTCTTTATTCTCATTTTGCATATTTTACTTTTCAACTTATACAGCAGCTCGCCTATGGTGGTAACCTTGTTCTGTTTAATAAACGATCTCGAGTCACTGACTGGTCGAAAATTGAATGCTACCACCGAATACGAATACTGAAATGGTCTTTCCTAAATCACATATACCATTCAAACTAGCTTCCTTCAACGTTCGCACACTAACGCAGATCGGACAACAGATAGGGTTGGCTATGTCTTTAGAAAGTCTTAATATCGACGTCTGTTGTCTATCTGAAATCCGTATTCAAGACTAGTGAAGTACTACAAATTTGCCTTCGTCTGTCGCTTTGATAAGCTTGTTTTATGTGCGTTTATCCGGGGACCCTGTGGCATCTTCGTCTGGTCTTGCTGGCGTTGGTGTCTCACTAAGCGCTAGAGCTGAGGCAGCACTAATCAATCAGATCCTCAATAACAGTCAGTTACGTGCTGTTTGATTAGAAAGTTCCATCAAAGTAAGAGGTCGGTGTGGGAATCGATGTATTTTCGTCATCTCCGCCTATGCTTCGACATGTTGCAGCCCGGATGCAATCAAGGATGAATTCTACCACCAGTTAACTGTTCTTCTCCAGAAAGTGCGTTCGACAGATATTGTAGTACTAGCCGGAGACTTGAATGCTCAGGTCGGGCATCTAGGCACAGAATAGAGTTGTTTAGGTGACCGATGGGGACTTGTTGGTCACAGAACAGATAACGGGGACTGTCTACTGCAACTGTGTGCAGACCACAACCTGTTTGTGGCTAGCACCAAATTCCGGCATGGTCATCGCCGACTTGTTACCTGGCGTCCTGCTTCTGCATCTCAAGCCTGGACTCAGATTGATCACATCGCGATCAGCTACCGTTGGCGTGGTTGTGTGCAAGTGTGTCGCTCCTTTTGGAGTACCTATCTGGACTATGATCATGCCCTTGTTTGTGCCAATCTTACCTTACATTTCAGTGGCCAACGAATTCATCGTCCTAAACAGATTGATGTTAGCAAACTAGCTGCAACTTCTGTTGTTAGTAAGTATCGAATCGAGCTAGGTTCTAGGCTATCTACCATTCCACCGAAAAGTATAGATAAGTATTGGTTGCAATTGCACGATGCCATGAAAATGGCGAGTAAAGTCGCATGTGGCTTCACTAAACGTCCGGCTTATAAGCACTGAGTTTCTTCTGATTCCTTACAAATCATTGAAGCCCGTCGGTCTACTTCGGGTGACCGTGAGTTTGACCACAAACGAAGACTGTTACGTAATGAGATTGGGCAAAGCTTGCGTAAGGACCGATAAGCCTGGTGGTTGGAGCGTGCCAAGTAGTTGGAAGCAGCAGCTGCATCTGGTAACTGTCGGAGGCTCTTTCAACTCATAAGAGCCACTGGCAGCATTATTTGTGGTGTGAGCGAAACAATCTGTGAAGATGACGGGATGCCAATCGCTAACATGAAACGACGTCTTGGACGATAGTCAGAGTTTTTCGAGGGGTATTTCAACTGGTCTGCTGCTCCGGAAACATCGATCAGACTGTCCTGCCCTCCATGGCCTGTGAAGATTGATTCACCAAATGAGGCGGAAGTCTGCAAGGAACTCCAACTCATGAAGTATTATAAATCACCGGGTCCAGATGACTTACCTCCAGCTCTTTTTAAAGATAGTTGTGACTTTTTGGTTAAGGAACTGACTACGTTGTTTACAAATGTTTGGGAGCTAGAGAGTATTCGAACATCATGGAATGAGTCAATAGTTGTTTCTATATTTATAAAGGGTTCACGTCGTTGCTGCAACAAATATCTAGGGATAGGTCTACTTCCGAGTGCGTCCAAACTATTGGCTTCCGTCATACTTCGTAGGCTGTTCAAAACCTGAGAAAGATTGACTCGCGAGGAGCAGACTGGTTTTCGTTCCGGTCGAGGATGAATTGATCATATCTTCACTCTCCGCCAAATATTAGAACACCGTCATACCTATCCAAGGCCAACAATTGTAGTGTCGCTTGACATTACGGCTATCTTCGATTCGTTGGATAGGACTGTTCTCTGGGATTGCCCATTGAGCGAGGGTGTGTCTGAGAAGTTTATTAACATCCTAGAAGCCCTATACACAAACACCTCAGGCAGAGTGAGGGCATACAACCACCTCTCCCCGTCGTTCAATTCAAGCAGTGGAGTTAGGCAGGGTTACCCAATCTCACCATTCATCTTCAACTTTGCCATCGATGACATTCTGGAAACAGCTCTGATGGATGTAAGCAATGGTGGTGTGGATCTGTTGCCTGGAGAAACTTTTGACTTTGAGTACGCGGATGATATTGTCTTACTGTGCGATAATGCCCAAGCCATGCAATCAGCACATAATCAGTTGGCAATCAATGTCCGTAGATATGGTATGTGCTTTGCACCTTCGAAGTGAAAAGTACTTCTACAAGATTGGCAGGATTCTAATCCTGCACTCACTCTGGATGGTGAGCAGATAGAAGTAGTCGAGAAGTTCGTGTATCTGGGTAGCTGCATAAGTGCTGGTGGTGGTGTGA